AATAATTATTATATCACATTTTCACATAATAAACAATTTTCAGTTTTGGATTTTTTTAATATTATTAGGTAAATTATATAAATAAGCATTTCAGTGTTTTCTTATTTGCGTATCTATAAAGACTTATTCGATATCTATTATATAATATTTTTTAACAAAGTGTAAAGTTGTTGAAAAACGAATAGTTTATTTGGTCTTGACTCCAACAACTGATATTATTTAGTTCGCTGATTTCAAAACAAGATTTTGTTATTCTTTACAATTAAAATTTATTTAGGGCGAGGTCCATAGCTTGCCAGATATTCCAGGGAAACTGTTTATATATATACTACAAAAAAATTACATTACTAAAATAATACCTTCATCTAATACCATATTTTTACCTCGATGTTGGGATGGTAATTATAATATTCTATGAATACTCTCGCTTCTGTGGTATCAGAAATCTTCCGGTTCGCACAGCTAGGTGTTTGTGCCACGAAGTCGGCAGTTTAACTAGTTGTATTACAATTCATTCATTCAACGGAATTGCCTCAGCGGTGTTCTTAAATTTTTCAATATATGTTTCATCTACGTAGCAATATTAAGACCGATCTTTTTCATGCTCTAACTGATGATTTTACAATTGCATATCATTTCAATCAAATCTCGTTACTTTTTGTAATATGCATAGTTACATTCTTCATATGCAACTCACTTAATTATAATTTTAAATTTAGTAAGGATTATAAAAACAATTGATTTTATAAACAAAAATAAAATATTTAATCTCCCTCTCTCACTTTTGAAATCAGTTTTTATTTCAACTTTCATTGAAAGCATTGTCAAGTACTGTTCTTTACGAACAAAAACAGACTTTATGATTTGATTTTAAAAATCAAATTTGTTATTAATATACGATACAGGCAGTGATGTAGTTTATGATCCACGGTGGTAAATTCTTAAGAGCTTCTCATATAACTTGTTTGCGAATAATTTAAATAAACCATAAAATTAAAAGAAATTAAAAATAACTTTATATCACAAGCAACTATTGTTAGTATTGTTAACCAAATATGATGGCCAAATTCAATAATAATAATGTTATTTGGTTTTTTCGATAAATAAATAGTAACTAAATAAAAATAAGCCTTACATAGTCAAAACCTGATAACGAATATCAGAAAAATATTTTAAAGTATTTAAAGTTTTAATTTCGAAATGGATACACATAAAGAGTAGATTTATGAATAAGAAGTACATTAATTTTATTGGATGTGAAAAATTAAAGCAACAAAACAAATTATTATATTTGAATATTGACCAAAAACACAACAGTCACTGTGGTTGTGTTTTTTGTAGTTACCTAAATTTTACATTTATTATTTTACTATCACTAAAAAACCGGATAAAAAGTTTCAAATTCGTATCCAAGATTAATGATCTCTATCAGACTTAAATCTTAATCTGTCAAAATAGTAAAAGAAAGACACTTTAAATTATAATTTTATAGATACCTTGATATTTATTAATCATTTTAACGGATCTAAAATCAATACAAATTAAGACCGTATATCAAATTATATAAAACCGGATGCTATAAAATACGGTCTTCTTCATACTATCAGTATATGTAGACATGAAAAAAAAAACAAGATCGAATCGATTTCCGTGACTTCGATTGAAACAAAATTTATGGAGGTTAATGTTTTGTTATTCCTATACAAATATCTAATCAGAATGTTATTTAAATCAACGATAAAATAGTTCTCAATCTGAAATTGGAGCACCTATTCCAGTTTCTTAAAATTATATTTAATTTTTATTCATTTGCTAGAATGCTGTTACATAAATTATGTTATTTAAATAAATTACATGAGTTGCAATGATATTTTATTTTTAGTTACTTTTAAGTTTTTGGTTGAGAGCAAAATTTTGTTTTAAGTCTTGTCTTACTTATTTGAATTTTATCATCGAGACGAAATTCCAGACCAGTCTTTATAATAAATGCAAGAATGAAGCGTTTTAAATGCTTATTATAAATAAAAATATATCAAGGTGTACAAAGGTATTAGGTTTGATTTGTTTTTATTTCACGCTCTAAGAATTTAGTGTTGACTGAAATATTAGTGGTCAAACAATATACAATATTTTTATTCAAATATTTAGTTTTCGTTTGATAAAATTTTTATAACACCAAAAATGAGTTATGTTTCCAATCATGTTTTGAGTTGTCAAAATATTTCTGTGATTAGAAACACGAGCCAGTAAAGTTTAATTTTAAATGTTTATAAATTCCAATAAAGACTAAATACATACCCAAACCCTTATTTTTGTCATTCTTGATATTTAATACTATCATATCTATATATCAAACAAGGATATTGTGGAGTCTAGATAGGTAGTTTCACAACTAAAATAAGTATTAAAACTAAGTTCTTCCCGAGGCTCCGCGAGTTTTCTTTAGAAACTAACTCGACAGAATGGACTATTATTATATAAATATATATCTGCTAAAGCTGAAAATCTGATTTCAGCTTGCGTCTAATAACACTAATTGATATATTTATACACGTATCTCTTAAATTTAACTATTCTTATATATACATTAATATATTTATATAAAGTAAATATTTTTATATAAAAAATGTTAATTTTTGAAGAAAAAAAATTAATATTATTATATTTTCGTGATGTTAGAACACTTTCTTGACAAAATAGGGTGTGTTTTATGTATAATTTACACAAAGTATAAAGCAATTTGTCTCACAAATAAACCATATTACTCCTCCTAAAAAAATTTAAACCAATTAATTGAATGATATATCCATTTTCTTTTATAATCAATGACCTCTGTATTAGATGAACTGAATTAAATAATTCAATGTCACCAAAATAAATGGGTGTGGAAGAGATAAAGATAAAAAACATTATAGCTATATATGGTACGGTTTACTTCTATAACATCAAATAGTTTTAAAGGTAAAAAATAAATGAGATCCAGTTTAAATTTAAATTTATGTTGTTTTTTTAAAACATCCGACTATAACATTATTGTTAATTTGCAACTTTATATAATATTCAAAGTATCTTGACGCGAATATTTCTTGTAGAACATTATAAATATTATCGAATATGTTATTTATAGATTGAAAAAATAATTATAAAGTAATTTAAAAAGTACAGTACTGTATCTTTAATTAGAAGTCAGTGGTCAGCATCATCATCATCGGCCTATCAGAACCAACTGCTGAGAAAAGGTTTCTTCTCACATCGAGAAGATTTGAGTATTAATGACCACGCTTGCTAAAGATGGGTTGACAATTTCAAACCTATAATCTGTAATTAGTCCAGGTTGCCTCATGATGTTTTGCTTCATCATCTGTCAGTGGTCATCTAAATACTTTTAGAAGGGACATATGACTCGGAAAAAATCACATTGGTACTTGTCATGTTTCGAACCCGCGCCCTCATGCACGAAAGGCGGGCCTTTACCCTCTAGGAATGCTAAAATCGATGACTTGTAATAAAAAAAATATATATTTTGATAAATAGGTACTGTATGTAATATTCCAGAATAATCTCTTATATATAAACCTAAAGAAAGTCGTATAGTTTATAACTTTATCACACGTTGGCCAACTTATATTTTAGATTCATGGAATATTGACCCCTGTTTGAATATATTAATTAATGACGGTATCCGTTTTACAAGTCGAAGTTTTAAACACGTTCCCAAAAACAGCTATGTAATTTAATGAATCTTTTATGACAACTTTATTCTGCCTTATATCTTATTAACCAACTTCAAATAAGAAGGAGGTTCTAAATTTGTTTGTAATTTTTAATTCTAAGTCATTATAAGGTGGATAACTAAGTGTATCGTAATAAAAATATGATAGCAATTATTGCTTTTATGTTTTATAATATAATAGTAGCGATTTAAACAATATTTCCGTCTTTCAATTAAACAAAACACTTTTGTAAGCCCATTATCCAGTAATTTTGCTAAAGTAGTAACACGTTTTGAAATAATTTTAAGCATTATTTAAGTTCTTTAAGCATTTTCAGTCTAAAATTATATTAAGATGGAGTTCAAAAACTTATTATATGATATAACTTTTCTAATAGAATTAATATTAAGAACGTTGAATGAATGGAACGTTGTTATATTTACAAAAAGCTCTGCTGTTGCTCATTGAAAATATCTATTTTTCTCACATAAAGTCATGTCATATATCACAACAGGCTATATACTTTTCGAGTTATTTTAGTAGCGTTTCAATCATTCAATCATGAAAGTGATTGACAGTTATCCCCTATTTTTGTCTTCTATTACAATGACAAAGTATTTTTATTATTCTTTCTTATTCTGTTTACTTTTGAAATAAAAATATTCTTCTCGCTCTAAAACTGTCCAAAGACAATGCTGAACCCATGTTTTAATAAATAAAATCTAAAAATCAAAAACATACAAAAGTTGCATAGGAATAAATAAATCATAAATCAGCATATGAATAAATGTAATGTGACAAAGTATACCAAAGATATTTTTTATTCGTTAATAAAATAATTTTAAGATTTTATAGGGTATTTTTTTAGTAAAAATATTTCAAACTATAAAATTAAAGTATACCATGTACGTGTAATTTATTAAGTTTATATATATTTATGCCTAAGAATAAAAACGGTTACCAAAATTATATTTTGACATACAATGACAGTAAATTTGTATAGGTTTTATTATATCATAAAAAAATTAAGTTATGTTAAAAAAAAGATCTAAAAATTTCAATGGGAGCTGACGACCTCAAAAGTGACCTTTTGAAAAAATACTAATTTAGATAGACCAAGTGTTATTTTAATAAAGACAATTCTTCACTCTAGCGGCAAATTATTTAAATGTTATTGCAATTCCACGTCAAAAGTGGGTGGTACTATCAGTTATATAAAAGCCTGCGCGGATTTTTTACCCGCATTCAAACTAGTTCATCAAAGCTAGGCAAATCTTACAAATAAAAATGAGATTCGCCGTAAGTAAAATATTTTATAAGAAAAAAAAATAAAGTCTTATATCAGTTATATTAAAAAAATATATTTTTTTATTAACGTGATGTGAAATTATGTGTAAACTTTAATCATATTTTGTGAATACAGGTGGTCGTATTTGCCTGCGTATTGGCGGCCGTCAGCGCCCAACAATACTTCCCTCAGAACAAGGGACAATACTTCCCTCAGAACGACCAATACAAATACAACAGATACAATAAGTACAACTATAACAACAACTACAACAACTACAACCGTTTCCCCAACCAGAACAGATTTGGTGGCCAGTACCAGCCCTTCGTACAGCCCGCTGCTTTCCCCCGCCCAGTTGTACCTGCTAAGCCCGTAGTTGTATCCCCTGTTCCCGCTGTTTCTGTTGAAGCCAAACCCAGCCCTGCCCCCGTCCAGGTAGTTGCTCCCGTACCCGAACCCAAACCCGTAGTTCCCGTAATTCCCGTATCTGCTGTCAGAGTTGCCGCTGACGACCGATCTGCTGAAGTCCTTAAATTCGGAAATGAAATCAGTGAAAACGGTTTCAACTACTAGTGAGTATCAATGAAATTACTTTTCATATTTGTCCTTATATGTAGTTATAGTTAAGTGACTAAGAAAGAGAACATTTTTAATTATATTTATCGTTACTCTATAGCTTCGAAAACAACAACGGAATCGCCGCTCAAGCTCAAGGTGTTCCCCGCAACTTCGGTGGAAACCCTCCCGTAGTTCCTGACGTTATCCAAGGAGCTTTCTCCTGGACTTCCCCCGAAGGCAAGGTCATCTCTATCAGCTACACCGCCGATGAGAACGGTTACCAACCCTCCGTAAGTAACACTTCTAATTTTTTTATAACTTCAATAAATATAAATGTGGAATTTTGTACTTTATATTATAAAATTATAATTTTTTCTATTTCTTGCAGGGAGACGCCATTCCTCAGCCCCCAGAAATCCCCGCCCAGATCGCACGCGCTCTTGAATACAGTGCCAGATACCTCGCTAGCGCTAAAAACTAAATGAAACCAATTATTAACTCTATCACAGCCATAACTTCTCTTAACGATGTAGATTTAATTTAAAAAAAGTGTACAAAATAGTTGATGTGATAATCTTAATAGTTTGTCTGTTAATAATTTCGTGTGATGAATAGCAGGATTAAATAAAACATATGCCCCACTCATGTCAGATTTTTATTTAACTATGTTTATGTATGTTTACTAATTTTATTATTTTAGTAAATACAAACCTAAGAAGCTTCTAATAATAATTATGAATTCCTGTCCTCATTTAAAGGGAGATCCGGGGGTAGCTTCATAAAGATTTCTTTCTTTGTGTTAATCAATATTTACAAGAGGATTTTATAATCAAACCAAGAGTCCATAAATAATTTCTAATTATCGATACAAATAATTTATGAGTTAATGTAAAAAATGTGAAATATGTAAAAATTGTGCTAAAAACCATAATTACTTTCTTTTGACAGTCTTTGGTACTTAAATGCACTATTTGAATTTTGTTTTACATAAAAATAAGTGGCCTAATATATATGTATATATTAAGTTTATTTCTAGACGACCGTTTTCTTGATAAAGGTGTAGAAGAAAATTTTAGAATAAAATTAAAATAAGGAATTTACACATTTTTACTACAGTTTATGAAGCTTGGGAGACGATATAATAAACACAATCCCATTTTACTAGGAAGACGTTTTTAAATGATGTACAAGGTTAGCGACTTGACGAATTTTATTGTCGTTAATATTTATTGATTACACTTTGATTGAATTTTAAAAACATTAAATATTTAAATATATTTTTTTAATATCCTGAAACATAATACTACGGAGGTTATAGAAACTATATTTATATTATTATTTATCACAATAAATGTTATAAGATTATCGTTAATACTTGAAAAAAGCATATTATCAATTTAAATATTGTCAATTTAACGAGTAATTTGCATCAATTTACAAATTTTACTAGTGGGTTATAAGGGTCTGCTTCACGGCCAGCCAAAGGTTTTTTTGTTAAATTTTAAGTAGATGAGATTTGACATTCATGCCACCAATATGTATCTGGTTTTCTAATGCTAAATAGTTGATGCCGCAAGTAAAGCGTGCAAATTTCTAAGCACACTTTCCAAAGTATATCCTATAGAATTCCTAGGATCTAACAACTTTACGTTTGACTAGATTGTTTTCAATTAAGTTGTGGTTACCGATAATATTTTTGTGTCTCTACGATAATGTTAGGTGATCGTGTGCCAGAATGTGACAACAGTATTCTACACACTACCGGACTTTTACTTTGTTTAGACGAAGACGCTTTCCTGAATTGAAGCATTATCGAGCTATTTCAAGGATTTTTAAGGAAAACGAAACTCACGATTTGATTTCTTAATTCGAAAGCTCCTTAGAATTGCACAAAGACATGTATCTAAGGCTTATAACCTATTCTTAAGCCTATATGATTCTGCCTATGTAGGGATAGTAATGTCATCACAATTTCTTCTGTGGTAGATTAATCTTCTGGATCATATCGCCAAATTCTTTTCATGAGCTCAGCAGCATCACTTGTATACTTTATGTACATATGCAACGGTGGAGCCCAGACAATGTATGTATGGTCCATTTTCAATACATGTTTCGCGTACGTGGGAAGTGATTGTTTTTAACTTAGTTACCTAACTACCATTATAAAGACATATTTAGATTATATTAGTGAAAACTTATTTGAACAGTAATGAATTACACCCCTTTAATGTTCTCGATTATGTCATTACAATTAATTTTAGTTTTTACACGTTTCTTGCTGACATCCAATACAGTCTGCTCATCGAGACTCGTCAAACTAGTTTATATCCTCTTAATGTAATGTAATCGATTTATTGATATATTCAATAACTAATAGGTTAGCCCATTTTAGGATATAATGTTTGTGAAAAAATAACTCTTTATAATTCCTTCATGACGAATTGTGTAAAACTAGAATCTAATTCAAACGAATGTTGGCAACTTTGTAAATAAAATAGAATAGAATCTAATTTTATAAAGGAATCTATTTTTATAAAGGTTTTATTTTCTCCACATGTATTTAATATTTAACAGATACTCGCTTAGTTATGGCAAATACATAATAATTAATATTATTTAACATTAAGAACTTTTCGTGTGTTTCTAATCTCTTTTAAAGTAAAAACAATCTTAATAAAATTGAGCAATGCATATATATATTCCAGAGTTTCAGAGTAATTTGTTATCTATATACACAACGCAAACAAAGCTACAAGTTTATTTTGGTCGATGGTATAATTCTACTATCGGTAGCCATCTATCAAAAGATACAATTTGCTACCCAAGATAACGATAATTGACCTTTTATAAGCTGTTTTATTAATAGTGTATTCTGAATGGGCAGACTTAAATAAATGGTTACAAAATATATAACAAACTCTGTGGAACATTTTGCTTTTTTACAATAGAAGATAAAAATCATATATATTTTTGTAGTCATATTTTATTTATTTAGATGATCATTTTATATTAGTAAGATTTAACTACGGACTTACTTATTTTTAAGAATTTTTTTCACTACAACCTGTATTATCATAAATGAATGATCCCGAGAGTTGTAACATAAAGTTACGTTTTTAAAATTAATGATATGCTATTAATTATCGCTATAATATATTCGTGAAAATAGGGAGTCAATGGACTTATAAAAATAATAGAGCTTTTGCCTCCGTTGGGGGTCGTTAGTGTGGAAATATTAAGTGATTATAAATGTTCTAACGTTATTTATAAATAAGTTAAACGGTTATTTTAAATACATTTTTCTAATCAATTATGATTGTGTTTTACGAGCTTCGATTTATTAAAATCAAGAATTCCAATAATTTTATTAAATATAATTCTTTACTAAATCTTTTTCACTTTTAGTAAAATATGTATACGGCGTAACTGAGGTGTTTGATTTTTTTTTTTACACTTGGAAATGTCAAAATGAATATTGTCAAAATGCAAATAACTCAAAGAAATGTCAAAATGAATATGTCAAAATGCAAATAACTCAAAGAATAAAATAGAATTCATAAAAATTTCATCATTCTATAGAAGTATAACATTTTACTAATATTTTAAATAAGTAGTTCAAAGTTCCGAAAAAGATTTATAATATGTTGTAAATTTAATATTCCCATATACTAAGCATTATTCCCTCAATTGTATGTAACACGACAAATTATCCGAAAGTGTCATAATCTATTTAATACAAGAACATCATCAAAAGTAGTTTAAGTGTGAGACAATAAAAAATATTTTATTATATCATTTGCCTTATTATATCTGGTTTGTAACCGGTTATTTCCAGATGATAAAAGTATTAGAAGTATTCAAACAATAAAATTTTAAGCCCGTGAAAAGCTTTGAAGATAAAAATCAGCGATGCCAAATTTTCTTAAGCGTATAAAAATATTTTAACGGATTTAAAGTATCTGATAAGACAAAGGCATTATAATTTGGTATTCGTCTTCTTAGCTATGTTAGGTGTCACATTAGTTCAAGGCGGGGACCATCTGTACCCACGCAACTGGATTGGGCTCATCAACATTCGGTGATTACGCAATCTTACAGAAATTTTGTATAACTGGTTTTAATAAGATTTATTTCTTAGTCGACCTTATAAATCGTGTAAAGAAATTAATAAACGCTTATTTATTCGACAAATGAAACTCAAAAACTTTTTTATTGGTCTGATATTCATTTTTAGCCGTAGTTGATGGTAGTAATGATTTTGCAAACTTATTTGAATTTCATTTCTGAGCTGTCAAATAATCTCTTTCTGCATTGACGACGATGTTTATCTTATAGCGCCTGTGGAAAAAAACTGCTTAAAACGGTAAGGCAGAGTGTAAATGAAATATTTCAATAGGAGTCAAAATCGACCTCTTTAATGGTTATCTTAAACATTTTCATCTTTAATTTGGTAAAGAGTAAAATTAAACAGGGCTTTTATTAATAATAGATTAAATTAATAATAGATTAAAGCCTTATGTTTAAATCACCGTAAGGCAAAACAACGATATCGGATTCTATCAATTTGGTTAATACCTACTCCGAAACCAATTATAATCCTTTAAAATCTAATATTATTTCTATTACCAAAAACATAAATTTTAATGTTTAATATTCATATTAGCACAAAATACCACGAGCATAATTTAAAGTGACTAACAATTTTTAAATGTGCTTTATAACATATTCAATAGGACAACCTTGACCTTTTGACTTAAAGGGATAATATTAATAGGCATTAATACTCGCAGATTATATTATTAATTTTGATATAAAATGCTTACATGAAGAATTAACATAGGTTAACTTACCAGTTATCATTACGTTTTAGAAATATTGATCAATGAAAATTGTTATGTTTATAGTACAATACATTAAATTATTTAAAATTCAGTGCAATTCTCTATGAAAATACAATTAAAAACAAAAAATAGATTTTAATTTGTATAGTTCTATGTAAAATTTTACTCAAGTGAATGTTATAACTTCGCAAGCAATATTTTTTTGTTATAAATTAATAATAATAAAGTATTCTTTTAGATTGAATGTTCATACGTAGAACAAAGAGATCGTTAGTGATGCGGCAGATGAGCAGTGTATGAAGCCGTGATACTAGGGTCGGAGCGCGACCTTAGCATTTGGAAGATTCTCTACAGTTACATCTTGAGTACATATCTACAAGTTCTGTATGACTATCCTGGTCCATATCCCATTAATGCTGATTTTGTTTTAAAAAATAAAAAAAATGTTGCCTGCTTGACAACGTGTGACAAAGGAATACACTTTCTCTTATAATAGTGGTTCTACAATTTTGTTACAATAAAATTAAAATGTCAATAAAACTTCATGATAGTTGAACAAGTAGCTAAGTTACTAAAGGTTGCCACTAACAAAAGAACTAATATACGAGTATATAGCGTTTGTAATATGAAAAAAGATCACTTAATCCCGTAAGGCAATAGGATGTAAAAGTATGAGCTACTCACAAGGATATAAATATATATTCTACATAGAGAATACACTGTAATGGTATATAAATATATATATATATATGTATATATATATATATATGTATATATATATATATATGTATATATGTATATATATATATATATATTTTTATTATATACCACGATAAAATTATTAAATTGTTTTCTAATATGTATCTATCGTCGAGAATCGTCATTTTTATAGTCTTAAATTATACAAAGTTGTTTGAGAATATTCAATTTCATATAATATATAATCGAAAACTAAAATAAAATAAACAAAATCGAAGAAATAATTATGTTCAAAATAAGTGTGTATAAGTTATTTATATACATATTATATGTACACATGTAAATTATAAGTTACCAATGACATTCTAGTGATTCCGGGTTTCATCTAAGTTAATGGGTTCACGTTGCCCATACATGGTCCATATTTTTTCTATTAGTCATCTCTTAAATAAATTATAACATCCAGCGCAAAAATATCCGAATAGCCGATGAACAAGTTTTCATCGGCATACCGATGTTCAGACCTGATATAATATGATTTAGATATTTAAGAAGAACATTAAGTATAAGATAAATTTATAGTAAAATATATGATAATGTCATTCTCATTAACCTCACGTATAGTTTGTAATTATTAAGGACGTGTTACTGTTAACTAGTTAGAACTTTGTTTAACAAACACTTAAGCAAGGCCCGGTAATTACCATACAAAATTACGTGACTAAGGAGATGAGGAGACCTTATTTACTAGACTTAATACCATCTTTAGATCTTATTAATTGAAAACCTGCAGAGTTAAATACTTATAACATATGTATTAGCATACTACATTTTTTTACTAGTCTTAAAATACATGTCACTTACGCTGACGTGACGTGTGCCACACACTATGATGATAAAAAAATTATAAGTATTTTGAAAAGATTTATAACATGTATTATATTTAAAGGTTTTAATTAAATATCCCTACTAATATTATAAATGCGAAAGTAACTCTGTCTGTCTGTCTGTCTGTCTGTCTGCTACGCTTTCACGCCTAAACCACTGAACTGATTTTAATGAAATTCGGTACAGAGATAGAGTTGACCTTGAGAAAGAACATAGGATAGTTTTTATCCCAGACTTTTGAAAGGTTCTCTTGGAAACGCGATATAACCGAACTCCACGCGGCGAAGCTGCGGGCGGAAAGCTAGTAGAGTTATATTTTTGTACTTTAGAAATATCACTCAAAACCTTGTTTAAAAAGCCAAAACCAATGATTACAAAATCATTTTCATATTTTTTTTACTATCCTATGAAGTTTAATCCATCAATTGATAGTTAAAGTTGAATACAATCAGACATTCTTAGAAGCAGTCGATAGATCTTTATTAAATATTTAAATATTGATCAGACGAGAATTCATTATTTTTATGACGGTTTAAATAGTGCTGGAGAATACGTTACTGTGGAGGTGGGTCTAATGTTATACGTTAATAATGAAACACGATGGCGTCCTTAGTAAACGTCAGATGGTAGTTCAAATGTCAACGTTTTGTTAAATAACGCGTGCGTCTAGAAATATTAAATAAATAATATACAAACACAATAAAATACCAATTGTATGAATCTAGTCTTATAATAATCGTGATTTTTCTTTTACATCACCCATTAATTATGTCTTGTTGTTCTGACTTATATGGAATGTATCTTCTTTCAAGTTTAATAATATATACATAAATATATTACTAATAACTTTATGTATATGAAATAATTCCTTATGTATTACGTGGTCGTAATACATAAGGAATATTCATTTACAATACCAGTAATGTTTTATATTTGTCTTTACTTTAACAAAATTTTCCTATGGAAGACTAAACTTAAATAAATAGGCATTACGTTAGCTGACATTTTGTTTCCGAGTTTCTTGCGAAATACTAATTATATTTTATTTTAGGGATGTCAGTATAGTACAAAGTTTAATTTAAAATATTTAATTGGTGACACATCGATTGCCTGCAATAGCATCCTAAGCATTAAACAAAAACCGTTCCGACGAGGACTTGCTTCTTTTTTGCAATACTTGATGCCCTTTGCTTTAATGATGTGTATATTATAACTTACATGTATTTGTTGATGTTAACCTAAAAAACAGGTTTGCTTGAATACATTCTGCAATTATAATAGCATGTATTGACCAATTTGCAAAATTATTATCATAAAGTTTTGATAAAAAAAAGTATCTGTGAAAACTGTGACGTAATTGATATCATTAATAATCTTCTTCCTTGAATCGGATTTTTCAATAAACAATGTCCATACTGGGTCTTCTCATTCGATCTTGTTTAAGTCATTTCCTTTTGTGATAAGCATTCACTCTTTTATATGGATCATGTGTCGTCTTAATCAGAAATGCAAATTAAATTGTATTTTCTTTTACTTCCTTTATTACCTCAAAGTTTTGGTCTTGATAGAATAAAATTTAATATGAAATGTATGTTTACAAAAATCCTTTTCAAACTGATTTCTTCTTATTATTTTTATTTTATTTTCTTTCCTTTTTTTGACAATATTATTTTTCCAATTGTATTATACTTGTGGCTTAATATCTAGGATCTCACGCTGCTAATTGATATTAAAACAGGTCGCGTGTAGATGCAGTATTGTGAATAGTAAAAATTATTATTTATTAGTGATGTTTCGGTTCGTTTTTAGGTTTATTGCATAAATGGCATTGCCATGACTGCATTCCCATTAATTATCGTAACATCTGATAATGATAATGATGTTAGTAAATAATTCTAATTTAATATAAAATAATAAAATGGAAGCCCTATGTTAATTATTATATGCTTTTGTCTTGATTTAAAAAATAATTAAATTTTATCGTTTTTTATATTTAAGTAATTTAGGAAATTTATATATATCTTTTCCGATGTTTAATTGTGCACTTGTGTTGCGTTTTTTTGTGGAATTTGTGACTTATTTCCTATTGTTGTCTAAAGACTTACAACATTAATAAAAATTTAAAAAAAATATGCATAAAACCTATATTAATTATCCTTCCAAAATCATTTGAATGTTAAGTATTAAATAAAATTGTAGGTTGTTTATAATTACAAAAAATAAATAAATACAAACTAATAAACTATATTCTTAATATGAGACTTATATAGCCTTCATAAAAATCCTTTAAAATTTGTAATACTTTTATAAATATGTATAAATTTATGGTTCGCATCAATGTTTAATACAATTACCTTTTGTACTCGTAAAACAATACGTAAATAGGTTTATTGTTTAAAATTTCGGCCTGTTTAAGTAATCAGATAGCATCTTTTGTACCGCTAGTGAACAATTGTGTTTCATGTATGGGCTGTGTTCATTCTCCGACCTAGCATATTTTCCTTTTTATTAGCAATTAATTTTATTATAATTAATTTTTTAGGCAATTTTTGAAGTATGGATGTGTTTTGGTTTAATTTTATTATGGGTCACCAGATATGGCATTTGTATTTGTACGTCATGAATAAATTTGGTGATGGTGTTTGCTATACGTAATAACTGTTTAATGTAGGATATAATGGGGATGAGAACATATCACTTATTTTCCCAATCCCAATCAATCCATGCCTCACTTCTTCAGCTGACCTCGTATGAAACGGCTTATTGAAAATAGAGCTAAAAATGTTGATCAAAGTTATTTGGATCAATTACTTTTACTATAATTTGGATCAATCACTATAATATATAATAAAGTTTCATTATATTCCTTACATTGTCCTTAGGAAGTATTAATATGGGGCACCGTAGAACAAATGCATTTTGAAAACTTATAAAATATTTTACATAAATACATATAATACATTTAAAAATTATTGAATTTTAAATGTAGATGGTGACTTAAAAAATTATAATAAATGCATATCATCACTTTTCAATCAAAAGTTTATAATGGTTATAGTTATATATTTTGGATGGATTCAAAGGCGTAATATTTGTGGTCATTTACTTATCATAAAGTGTACGTACCACTTAGTCGGACTTAAGTTTACGAGAATTTTATAGTTATTCTATTGTAACCATGAACGAGATAATGTTGCACGATGGCCGAACTCGCAGACTTTTTATTACATGACTAATAAATTATAACAAATGAAGATTATAAAATTTCTAATTATTTTTATTTAATGTAATATATTTTTCAACAAATTGTATGAAGTTTGATTGATAATTTTCTGACCCATTATTTTATTAAACATCAATCAATATTTTGACATACCTTCATTTTAATAAAATAAACCATAATATTAAAAAGCTAAAACTGTGAAATAATTCTAAGAATTTGTATATTTTTGAAGCATGTGGCGCTTACCCATTTATTTAAAGGTGTCGATTGACGGAGCGTTAAAAAAATTTTACTTGAAGGGAATGAGTATAGTTAGTTTTACTTAAAATACTGTATAATACGGCCCTGTACTTTTGCAGTCGTTGCAAGCTCCCTCTGCTTGTATGCAATGCTAGACAAACTTGCGTCTCTATAAAAGGGACAGGTGATTAGAAGCTAAGTACAATCCGGTGCAAGCCGCCATCACCTCATGGGATATCTTGCTCATCTTTAAACAACAACATGAAAATGGTAAGTAACATTTAAAGGGTTGCATGCTTATAATTATTGTAACAAAATAAATACCCTTTTATTTAATTCAAATGCCGATAACAAACATCATAAAAGTGGCTTTATTAATCGCTTTGAAAAAAAAGTTTTATTTTAAATTCGTTGATATAATTGTATTTATTTATATCAAAATAATTTAAATTTTTACGTTTTATACTAGTTTTAATAACCCTTATTTTTATTTTTTTTTAAATATTAAAATAATACTAATGCTTAAATAACTATTGGTTGATCTTTATTAAGCAACTATTGTATAAATATAAATTATTAATTAATTAACCCAGACGTTGCCCGTAGATTACATAAAGATTTATATTCTATGTATTTTATTTATCTTATTCAAATCACGCATATACTAATAAAATAAATGTTTCTTAATAATTTGCATAAGTCTGCAGTTAGCCTTAGAAGATTCACAGGTAGGTTTGTCGCGCGATTTACGCAAGCACTTTGCATTTTGCAAACACAATACCTAACCTTTGTTTATTTGTCCTATGAACTTTTATATATTGCAGCTTCCATTAAGTACAATTGTATTTCTAGAGTATTTATTTATAACGGAAGAAAGAATTGTAGAAGAGTTTTAAAAACAAAACGGTTTTAGAAAAGTTTTTTAACCAATTAATTATTATTATTTAAATGGCTGCATATGTTTTAAATGTTCTTTTATATATTATACGTTGAATTTTTACTCCACAAAACATTCAATATCTTGTATTGTCATACAAATAAGCGTCTACTCTCGCAACAGGCGTGCGAGCTGTTAATTAAGCGCACAACTTTTGTTCTGTACAGGACAATGTATTTTCGAGACAACCCACAAATTCTGGGTCATGTTCCCACAACTCAATACTTGCAAAACAGTTATTATGCAGGCATCTGCATTCTTATGGTGACAATTCGTTCATTACTATTTAAGACTTTAAAGAAACTATTTTAAAATATAAATTTTAGTCAATAAAAAAACTGAATGTTCATATTTTTGTAAAACGTGCAACAAAGTAAAATAAAGATTCTAAAAAGGAAATTTTCAATTATAACATATATATAAGTTCAACAAACGCCAGACTTGACCCCAAACATATAAATATTAACTGCAGATATTTTGAACGCTAACATATTTCGAAATTCTTCCTATATGGATAAAGTCAAATGCGAATCGACTCGTCCTTCTTGTATAAACGGCGTGGAAATATATCGTTTTAAAGTTTTTTTTATACAATTGGATGACTTTTACTTCACAAAACCGATTTATATTATAGTTTTTTTTTAATTGATATATGAAAAATATAAATATTTTGAGTGATGTTAGGATAAAAAGAATAAATGCAGTTTAATAATTTTACTTAGATTTAATGAATTTTAAAATATGATACAATAAAAAGATATTACCTTGGTAATTAAATATTATAAGTTATGTCTCATCATATTTTATTTAAGATGATTGTAATAATGATGTCTGAATTATAGGAAAAAATATATATTATAGTGTTAAATATTTTTATTAAGTATATGTATGTACATGTATATAATAATAATACTTTATTGTCCTCATAAATATAATGAATATGCGTAAACATATGTAAAACTGGATTCCTATAAAATAAAAACCACTTCATTATTGATTAATAATCATGGTACGAGTATATTAAATGTTACCAGAAGTAATTAATGTACATATATCGATTCATAACTTGTCATATAATTATAATTATTCGATTTATTCTTACTTATTTAACAGCATTGTTTTAAGCTTTAAAAATTATTTCATTCAAAACTCTAAAATATATAAAGTGATATACATTTAAATAAGGTAGGAACTTTAATCACCTGCATTCTTTTTCCATTCATATAAGTCTGTGGAGGTTGATGTCACAATAAAATTGCCTATTCCAAATTAATATTAAATTCGCTTAAAATCATTATTAATATTTATCAAGTCTATTCGTGGTTGACATTTAAAGTAAAAACAAACTTGTTTTCAATGTTGTGTTGTATGTCTAATTCTATGCGTGTTTTTATCACGCTAACGGCATGTGAAGGATGCTGAATCAAATACTTAGAGATTCATCTGGAGGTGACAATTATCGAAGAGTTAATAAATTTTGTTTTTGTCTAGATACCACCTTTAATGCAACTTTATAGAATACTAGCTTTCCGCCCGCAGCTTCGCCGCGTGGAGTTCGGTTATATCGCGTTTCCAAGAGAACCTTTCAAAAGTCTGGGATAAAAACTATCCTATGTTCTTTCTCAAGGTCAACTCTATCTCTGTACCGAATTTCATTAAAATCAGTTCAGTGGTTTAGGCGTGAAAGCGTAGCAGACAGACAGACAGACAGACAGACAGACAGACAGAGTTACTTTCGCATTTATAATATTAGTAGGGATAACAATTAAATCTTCAATCGAAATCGAATTATTCCACTATTATATGTTTAAATTTAATAAATAAATAATGAAACTCCTGACATTAAAAATTAACATGTTTCAGATTGTGTGTTCTTGAAGTTAAGATTCTAAATAATATGATATTTAAATACTGTAGGCGCTGTGAATAAAATAAAATTTCCGCACTGTCATTTTTTAATGAAATAAGTAAATAACAAATAGTACAGCTATAAGCTATGGGTGTTAAGAAAAGTAAATAATAATATCGTTTTTGTTTAAAATTTCAGAGAATTTTGTTACTCTTAGCAGTAGTTGCTATAGCCAGTTCAGCTCCCCAGAAGCCGGATAATCAGGTCATAGCTATACTGAAACAGGAATTCGATCAGCAGCCTGATGGATCTTATGTATACAGGTAAAAGTTTTGAAAACATTATGCAATTGTCAACTTTATCCGTCTTGTAATGTTTATAGTGATAGTTTTTGAACTATAAAATTACAGCATTCAAAAAATAAAAATAGTTCTATGTTTATAATTCTGTGTTCTTTTCCAGTCTCAAAATGTCTTTATAGATACACGTTAAAACTTTCAAGAAATTATATAAAATGCAAATTTATATACTGTTTTTTTTACATATTTTTAAAATATGAATTAAAGAAATCTACTACAGATCGTAAAAATTGTATGTTTTTTTATACGCAGTAAACAATACTAAAATTTTATATGGTATATAAAGTTTGTCTATTTTGAAGTACAATTGAATGTCAAATTGATTAGCATTTCACAGTAACCTTTAGTATAGAGATAACACGAAAACACCTTAAAAAGTAAGAAAATCGTTAGTGATTATAAGTTTATTTCAATACCATTGATCAAACCTTATAGTTTAATATTAGAACCGTATCAAAGATAAAAGATTCTTAAAACCTTGAATTGATGTTAATATGATACAAAATATAAAATTACCATTTATTGACCATTATCATAAAAACTAATAGTCTTTTGTATAACAATAATATCAAATTCTTCAAAAACATAATATGATGGACATGAGATGAGAATATAAATAGTAATAATATCCGAAACATTTATAGAATAATTTAATTATTGTTATCTAATACTATGATGTAAATATGTTTTCAGCTACGAAACCGAAAATGGCATTAAAGCTGAAGAGACAGGAACTTTGAAGAAGGCCAGTAGTCCAGATACCAGTGATGTTATTGTAGCTCAGGGTGGATTTAGTTACACCGCTCCAGATGGTACTGTGATAAATCTGAACTACATCGCTGACGATGAGAATGGTTTTAAGCCTGAGGTAATAATAAATTAGAAATTAATTACATTTTTTCAGAAACTAAAAATAACTCTTAAAATACTATATACGTTACTAAACAACATCTTTAATGTATGTCTGTTTTTTTTTTGTTTTATCGCCACTTCATATGAGCAAATATTGAACTGACAATAAGCTAATTGTGACCTTGTATACTAATACGTATTAAGTAAATTTGAATGTTTCGTATAAATGCTAATCCAAAATTTACCCTCTCAATATTTACTGCCTTATATTATAAGTGCATTACACAAGAATGCGTACTTCGTGATGAATTTTAATAGGCGTTAGACTTGCTTTATTTTGTTTAATGCTTTTTCCAGGGTGCCCATTTACCAACACCTCCTCCGATTCCACCGGCAATCCAGAAGGCCTTGGACTACTTGGCTACCCTACCACCTCCACCACCCTCGAGAAATTAACCCTAATAACCGAAGCCAACGATGACGTCACGCGATCCTTACACATGATATATGACTTAAGCTTGTGCCACTTTGGAAACACGTTATCAAAATGCATGATGTTAATTATATAAAATAAAGTTGTTGATGCTATACAGCCTGTTAACAAAATGGCACCTCATATTTTTATACTCAGAGCAATAAAAAAATATATAAAAATGTATGCTCAATGTTCGATCTGTGATAGAAACGATTCACATTGAATGAAACAATCAAGTTATTTATTATTTATTAAATAAATGCAAAAACAGTGCCAAAGATGCATTGCGAACAGAGTTACTTCGTTTTATTGAAGTTCGGAGAGGGAGATAAAATATTTAGGAATGATGTAAACAACGTCAATAGCAACGAGTTGACAAAATTGATAGCACAGTGGTGTTAAGAGTTAAGGTCATTTCCTAAAAACTTTATAATTTGACATGAAACATGACATAAGCATTATTGTTAGATTTATGAGCCAATAAAATCTATTCGTCATACAACTTGTGAAAACTAATTAGACACCACGAATAAATATTGGCCATGTAAATTCTAGACGCAAAAAAAGTGTCATAAATACATGAAAAATAATTGTTCGCTACACTTTGGCTAAAATATATAATTGCTTCTAAACTTACTCGTTACGGTTTTATAATAAATCATATTCATACATATAATAGTTGATTATTATTTTTTATCCGTATATTGTCTTTCAAACTAATCTGATGTATACTTACAAGACTCAAACGACTTTTTACTTCTATAAGGTTGCAAGTAAATCAATTCCATACATTTTATAATAAGTTTTATGGTTAAATTTGCAATTGTGTGGCAGTATACTTTACACAGTTGTTTGCTCACTAGTAATCAAGAATTTTTTGCAGAAAAAATAGTGAAAAAATATGTAATCCCGTCCTTTGGATGGACACAAAATTTAAATAAAACTATTTCTTCAATGTGTAAAACCTATAATAATAAATAAGAAGTCTGAACTTCTACGAAATTTTGCCTAATATCATTAAATGAAGGTTGTCATAGCAGAAATAAGTTTCTTGGAATACATACATATGACAATGTACATATAAATATTAGTCAGAAAATTACAAATTAATTTCAAAGAAATGAGACGGTATTGCCCAACTTATGTTTAAAATGAAGAGGACGTGAAGTGGGTCATTATTAAATCACTTCTCTCAGACACACTATGCAAGTGCAAGTGGTAGAAAGCAAAAGCGGTTTAACATCAAGCTCTTCAAGCTGCGTTCCGGTTACAACCTGTTTGTCCAAGAGAGCGCCAGTCCAAGGTCACTGATGAGACCACACGGATATAAAGTTCAAGCTAAAATATTCAATTACAACATGGTTTTGCTATTTTAATTATTATCAGTTATTTTCCTAAAATAATCTTTTTAATTAAAATATATCTATCATAATTTTTTACCTAATGTTGTTAGTACAGAAAACTCTTTAATTATGATAAGAATTTTTTAAGTATTCTAAAATTATTAGTATTGACTTTGTAAAGCCGAGAGTTATTATAATTGTCTTATTACATAAATATGATAAAAAGCGTATTGAAAAAGTATGTATTGTATAAATATGACATATACCCAGTATCAATGTGCATTTGGTGAGATGATGTAACATATTGTTCTACATGTTCAATAGAATTTGACTATGAAAATATAAAGTGTTAAATATTAACATAACCAAATAGACAAAAGATTTTATCATTCAACTTCTAGACGTTAGTAAATAGTAATTAATCAAACGTTTAAACTGTTTTTTAACCTTCTTCTTTTGGATTTTTATTAATAACTTTATATTGAACCTCATATGAAATTATTCTACTCACATTTTCAAGTATTACATATAAGTACAATTTATGGTTTGTGATAAAAATAAGACTTATGTGTAACTCGAAGTGTGTAATTTTATATGCAAATGTTTAATCTGCAGTATCATTGAACCTTTGATATAAAAATTATTCACTTTAACTTTAGTTATCATACTACTGTTTTCAATAATTTACTTAGTAATTTTCCAATATGTAAGATATAATGATTGCAAACTAGTTTAATATTTAACGCTAATGAAAATAAAAACTATTAAAAAACAAAAATAAACATTTATTTATCCAAATATACATATTTATGTTGGCAGAGAAGGCTATGTGCCAAATATTTAATATTTATTATATTAAGCTTAACTTTTAATCAAATCAATGGCTTCAGTCACAGGTGCCGGTGTTGTTTTTGTAGCAAGATATGCAAGGGCTCGTGCAATTGCTCTTGGAATAGGTGGTGGAGTTGGCAGATGAGCGCCATGTGGCCGGTAACCATTTTCATCGGCTGTGTATGACAGATTAACATCATTGCCTTCGTTATCCTGAAATGGAGAATAACAAAATTATTATTAAGTACATGTTAAAGTTTAACAATGGACTAAACAATTTAAATCATAGTAGCGTTAATAAAATTACGAATAAAATTACGAGTTTTATAGATGATACTTACGTTATCGTCCTAACAATATTGAAATACTATATTCTGACTAGAAACTTGGTGATATTAAAATTTTATTATTAATGAGATGCATATATGATTCAAGGGCAAGCAAATCTTAATCCTTCAAGGTTCAGTTTCAATTTTCTAAATGGTTATTTATATTTCATTACCAATCTATTGTAATATCTATATTTAAGACCTTAATATCTTACTTTATAGAATACACTGCCGCTGACGGCTTCACCCGTAGCATCGTTACTAAAATTTCTCAATTCCCCTTGGCTGGAAATTTTTGTACCATCGCCACCCTCATAACTGAAATAGAAAAATAAACATATTTAGTGCTTTGAATTATCGTTACTTTAATTTTATAATCTTGATTATTATTTCGATAATTCATATACATACTTTATTATTCTGCAAGTGACATATACATAAATAATGAAAATATTTAATTGTAATTTAAAAAAATTAATATATTAATTTTAATAAGTTAGTTATGACAAAAACCTAGGACATAAATTAATTACCTGTAGTGAAAGCTGCCACTGTGTGAAAAAACGTAATTTTTCTCATCTACAATTTTTACAACAGGGTCATGTTGCCTTCGGGGTTTTTGTGGTATTGGGTTAAATTCAGCAGGTCTCTTAGTGAAGGTTTTTGGCACTATTGTGCTTCGAGTTGGAGGAGTACTAAAAGTTCTTTCTGTAGTCGTCACAGATTCTTCATTTCTTTTAGTATATTGAATATCAATTGGTTTTACCTCAGATTCTGTGACTCCTTTTTTCACAAGTTGCTGGCGTCTTCTTACCTTACGCCTTTTCCCATTCGATACTGAACTATTATTTTCATTCTCCTGAGTACGTTCTCTATCTATTGGAGCATCATATATGACAGTAACGGGAACTGCCTTTATATCAGAATTGTCAAATTTAACCGACTTCTCTTCACGCACCTTTACCAGTTTCCCATTTTGTTTTTCCGGTACCACTTCATAGCTGTCAAATGAAGGTGGGTGATTGTATTTATAATTATTTCTATCAACCGATCGTTCCTTGAGACTTGGATTTCTCACATCTACATTTTTTGTTAATACACTACAAAATATACTAAATAACACAATCGCTAAAACCGAATTCGTAATAAACATTTTCAATTACAACTGGGATCATTAAATATACAACAACATATCAGTAACACGCCACCAATAGCAATGAAGATGGGATCTGAATTTAATATTAGCTTTTTGTACACGTTAATATTATGTATACGGTCAAACAACCAGTCAAGCAAGAAAAACAATACATGTACAATGTTGTTTACTATTATTTATAAAACCGATGTTACGAAATAAATAGAGGCTCTTACAGAAGTTGTTAAAAAAACAAATGAATATGAATAAAGAACTAGTATCAATTACAAACCTACCGTATAAATTTTGTTAGTTTTTATATATAACTAATTTATTTCAGGAAGCCGGTTAAATGAATTTATGTTTAATTTGATTTTAGTTGAAGTTTAAATATTAAGTGGATATTAAAAAAATATTTATTACATGCGTTTAAAATTTACTGTAAATTGATATATATTTTTCAATTTTCTACGTACCGCTGAAATTATAAGTAGCTTGCATTTCAGATGGCTACTAGATCATGTTTGAACTACGTATGAGTTTAATCACGTTGATTCGTCACCCTTCTTGTCACATTATTGACACCTTGTCGATTGTGCAATTTTTCAAAGAACACCTCTGATAGTCGTTAAGGTTGAAGTATTTAGCGTACACTAAGGCTCCACCGGAAGGCGGGGGGAGGATAGTGTAAATAAATGAGTCTTACATATAAGAAGTCATGAAGTCTAGGTTATCATTCATTAGTAATTTTCGGGAGTGATAAGAATTAAGTAAAAATTAAAATGTATTTCAAAGGTTGCTTTTTTGTTTTAGGCTGCATGGTCATAGGCAGTATTGCGGGTGTCATTCCGATTCTTTCTCAGTCTGAAGAATTTCAGCATAATGGAACTTATAAATTCAGGTATTATTCTATAATATATTATACTTCAGCTCTAAATGTTACCTTTATGTAAGTCATAGCCCATTTTAAAATTAAAGGACACTTAACAATAATAGGTTAACTATTTTATAAGTAGCACTTACATGTTTGATAAATAAACTCTTCTGAATAACGTTTCACCCTAGTTTTCGAGAGAAATGATGCTTTGCAAATAAAGTTACATATCATTATATTAATGAATTCTAAAGCAAATTATATAAAAATACGAATAACACAAAATTATAATAGTTTGATACAGTGTTAGTAATACTATTTAAATTAAAGTGAAACAAATATTATGTCCTTCTAGTAAAAGTTATAATGTGTAATTAATAATATATGTACAAAAACAATTTTTTTTAGCATAGGCTGCCATTAGACATTACATCGTTTTATTTATTGAAGTAAAATCTTTATATATATAAAATAAAACATTTGTTAACTAGCACATTCGAATAGAAAATTATAATCAAATAAACCATGACCTTTTATAAATATATTTTTTTTAGCTATGAGACTGGAAATGGAATAATTCGTGAAGAAGTAGCTTATGGAAAAATTCTACCTAGAAGCCGCGATGCAAGCAGCAACGAGGGTGGTGAAAGTGACGAAAGCGAGGAAATTCATGTACAACAAGGTTCTTACTCATACACCGCACCTGATGGTACCGTCATCTCTGTAAGGTAAGATAATAAATATTATTCTTAATAATATCATATTTAAAATAACATGATCATACGTACAAAATAAAAACAATACCATTAGAAGTAATATGCTAAATATTGTTTAAGGATGTAATTTTGATTATATACTTCCTTTTTAACTGTACGTCATTCTTCAATCACAGATACATCGCCGATGAAAATGGTTTCCAGCCAATCTATGAACATACACCAAGCAAGGAAAATTCAAATTCAGCTGAAAAATCTGGTAGAGCTTTAAAATTACATGCTTCTGAAACGAAATCTGCCCCAATTCCAAAGATAAGAGTTTCTGAGTCGAATGAAATAAGTTCTGATGAAATTAAACCTCAAGAAAAAATTGCTCCCGAAATAGTAGAGCCAGTAGAAGTTTCTACAGCCGCACCTCAACCTCAATTAGCTTCTGAAGTATCAAACTCAGCTATTCTGAAAGAAAATCCTGAAGTTGTTCCTATGTCAGTTGCTTCTCAAAGTGCACCTGCAGCAATATCTAAATCCTCGTCTGAAAATGTTGTTAACGATGTGTCAACAGTGGAGCCAGAAATATCATCATCAGCATCTATTGTTCCCGAAGAAACATCGGAAATGATTGCCGAAATTTCATCTACATCTGTGCCTGAAGAAGCATCCACAAATATTCCACAGACTGAATCTGCATCCGACATTAATGTAGTCCCTTCAGCTGTTCCTGAAATTGCATCTACCGTTATTTCGGAATCTGCGGGTTCAACAGAAGACGATAATCTTCTTGTATCAACTGAAAGTGTACAAGCTGTAACTGAATTAAAGGCCATAGAAGAAAGTGAATCAACAACTTCCAATGTAGATGTAAGTACTATACCAGCTTCAACTGCAGGCCCTGATCAGCCACTTACTGAAACTGAACAGGGTACCACCGCTTCAGCAGAATTGCCTAGCAGTGAAGCTCCAGAACAATTAGCTTCAAGTGAAGTTTCTGAATCATCAAATTCTACTTCAGCTCCTGAGCAAGCGAGTACAACTGAAGCCGTCGGACAACAAGCTTCTTAGAAATTTGTTGATTAATCTTCTACAAAAAAAGTTGGGTAATCAGCAACAAAGGCCTTTGAATTTGTTACCCCTAAAGAACCAAGCTCTCCAACCGTCTAAGCTGAACGAACTCTTAAGAAAATCATCCATTTTAGACAGTGTAATAATAATTTAAAAAGAGTATGTAATAAAATTTAAAAAAAAATTATGTAAATTTTTTGGTACGGGTGTATATATACTATATTGTATAATTGTGTATAAAATGTGATAAAATAAAATGTATAATGACAAATAAATAAGTACTAGTTAAGTTTTAAGCAATAAATAAAAACATATTGTTATTATTGTTCACAAATATTTTATTTCGTGTTTGTTTTATTTTATTTTGACATTATTGTTTTTAAAATTGTTAAAAAATATACAGGGTGACTGGTGAATTACTATCGATACTTGAGGACGTGATATTTGACGATCATATATGACAAAATAAAAATTAATATAACATAAATATTAATAAACTTCTAAGTAAAGTTAACCAAAAGTTATGTAATTAATTACGCATCGTGTGAACACCCTACAGATTAGGTATACACACACACACAGATACACACGTCGGCGGCGTAGTGTTGTATCAGCACGCCACCATACGCGTCCACACTTGGAACATTTGGAACGTGTCCGCACTTTATTTATTTATACGGAAAGTTGGTCAAAAATTAAGTACCTATTTTTTTTACATAATTCGAATGAGAATCATGTACCGAGTATGCTCCTTAAATATTGATAGTAATTCACCAGTCACCCTGTATATTATCGATAGTGACATTAAAAACGAAATCAAGGTACTTCTGCAGAAATAAAACTAATTCAAACTTAAAATACAAATTAACATATCACCAAGTAAAAGAAAAGCAAAAAAAATACATAAAATTTGAAGGAAAAGGCTTTTTAAATAAAAAAATATGTTATTTATGGTTGTCGGGCAATTGAGTTATGCTAGGTATGCTGTTATTAAACTTTCTTTTAGATTTCCGTATTATAGAAACGAAAATTATAACAAAAACCATACAATGCAAAGTTTGTTTTGTATAACTTTATTTTGTCTTTATGATAAAATAACAGATATAAGGGATTATTTTATATTATATTTTAAATCATAAGTTAGGAGTTAAACTTCTTAAAATATATTTTTTATGGGGAAAGGGGGCAACCGAGACACGGCCTATTTGATGGTAGGTAGTTACCGTCGCCCATGGACATTCGCAACGTAGATTTGCGGATGTGTTGCCGCCCTTGATTGGGGAAAAGGAGGAGGAAAATGTGGGGAAGGGAGGGAAAGGACAGCTTGGGAAAAGGGGAAGGGCAACCGGCTCTCTCACTCACCGGAAGAAACGCAGCCTTTAAAGACTACTTCATGTCGATGTTTTGTGAGAGGGTGGTACTTCTCCGGTCGAGTCAGCCCATGTTTGAGCTGTAGTAACTTGACCACAGCTAGGCTCTACCACCTCTAAATAGTTTTATGATAAATTTATTTTATTACACGTTTTTTTTATTATGAACAAGTACTTTCACCTTTATGAATTATCTATTAAACTATATATTATTTGGACAATATAAATACACTACAAAATAAATTAGAGGCAAATTATAATCAATATTGCGAAATAGACACCATAGTATATTTATAATGTGTATGTATATTATATTATTATATAAGTCTATATTTATGGTATATTTATATATATTGTATCTATATTTATAATTTGTACCCCCCTACTATCCTATCTCTCTCCTCTACCAAAGGTTGCCTGGAAGAGATAGCTGTTTTAGCGATAAGGCCGCCTATTGTAATTTTTCTTTTCTTTATTTTACTCCTATTATTTGTCTATATTGGTGTACAATAAAGAGTATATATAAATAAATATAAATAGACACCAAGATAAATATTTTACCAAAATGTATGCATAATATTTACTTAATCCAAATTATTTTAATATTTTAAAGAGCTTTGTGATAATAGAGCTTACGGTTCCTTGGGAAACCAACATCCCCAAAGAATATGTCATCAAGGTCAATAAATATTACGAGCTCACTAACTAACTCAAAATAGGTTCGTCGTGGATTTGTACGTGGTAGTAAGGGAAGCGAGAGGTATAACAGCTAAATCTCTATCCTTTTCTTCTTCTTCTTTTAAAAGAATTGGCCCTTTGCAGAACTAACATCAGTACATCCTTGGAACGGACGAAAGCAGCCCTTGTAGGTTCGCTTCAAAGGTTAGGTGGAGAGAGGAGCTTGAACGGTGGAGGTGAGCATTGGAGACAGCGGCCCCTTTAACTTTCATCTGCGTCGCAACTCCCCGACACTGTTGTAGCTCCCCTCTCTGAAACGCGATGGACCCGGCCGCGGCACCCGCATAGTGAATCCATTAAATACTGCTCTCAGTATTTCGTCTCTTAAGACCCGAGGGATCTCAGTGAAATATTAAAGTATTTGCTTTTAAGGATGTATTTTGTCTGAAATCAGAATTCAAAATTAATGTATTCTTCTAAATGATTAATTGGAAAGTAATAAATTCATTTTATATTTTATTACAATCTCTTATTTTCTTTAACACAATAACTAATAAAAAACAGACTACAACTAATTAGCAGCAAATGTTTGGTGATGAATCTGAGTAAGGTAGAATTATATAAAATCACCATTTATGTTTTATTATTCTGACTATATTAAAGTATGTGTTATTTTACTGTGGTAACTATTAATTTCTTGAATTTATGTGGAGTTTCATAAATTTTACCCTCAGTACTAATTTCATAGTAGGAAAAAAATCTGACGATAATCACCATTTCATAATATTGTTATACCTTAAGCTGTACTTAATAGTAATAACATTATATACGTATTGTTATAAAACACAAAAAATGCTGGAAAAGGTAATAAAGTATTAAAATAAGTTTTAGTATTGTCATCAAGTAAATTTTAAAATTAATTGTTGTAACGTTAAACGATTACATGATGTTTCTAAAGCTTTAATTAAGAAAGCTATTAATAAATAAGAAATGATTTATTTTATCTTATCATAATTAGCATCAAAAAGAAAGCGAAAACACATTTAACGTTTGTTCATCGATATGAAATGTCAAGATCAGTTAGAAACAATAGTCATTGATGATAGTCATGAAGTTCTGCCTACTCTCTCTTGTTTTACAATGACCTTGTGCTTGTATATAATTATTTTGTGATGTATTAACTATAGCTGCCAAGTAATAAATATAAATTTTTCGAATATTGGAGTTTGTACGTACACGTGTAACTTAATTTTGCATATATAAATATATACTTTATAATGTCCATTCATAATATTGTTTGGGGAACCAAAATATCATGGATCTTAAAGCCTTTGAATTAAATTTACTTAAAATTATTATTTTTTTTTTGTTCCGCATTTATTTTAGTCATGGCTGGTAGTTCCACTACTTTTTTAATATAATGATGTGGTATTTTAATAAAAAATAAATAAATCTATAAGTAATTATACAATTTCAACTGTGGAATTATGGTTACCAAATATAATTAGCGGCATGTTATGTACTGTTATACAAACAAAATTGCAATTATTATTAGCATTACATTGCTAGAGTAAACCATAATTTCATTTTATTACTCTTGCGTAATGTTTTTATTTAAAAGTACCTTTATTATTCCTGGGTTGCTTGTTATCCGAATTGAACAGTTAATATATAAATTTTAAACATACATAGTGAAGGAAGAAAATTACTTTCTAATAAAGGAAAACGCTATAGCAGAACACAATACGATCTGAATTTCCTCGGCATGATTAATGAGACGGAAACGATTGTAGACCGTGGCCCGCCACGCGCAATGTCGGTAACCTTACGGGTTACGTAACCTGACCATCTTACTACAGCGATGAACGCATTTGAACTATATACAACATATTGATATTTAAATGTTGTTTGAACGCGGTCATATTTATGAATATTGTTTTATTATATAAACAAACATTTATTCAATGAAATTTTATGATCCGATTCTATAATTTTTAATCATTTGCATAAATTTAAAATTTATGTAATAACAATAATCTCGTGATTTACACTTATAGACAAATAATTCAGTTGATAAATGATTTTCTTATAGTTTATTACTTTTTAGGTGAATCCTTAAAAGTTAAAATAATGTGATATTTAAATTATTATTTACTAATAACTAATATCTGCCAAGAAAAGTATTTCGTCAAATCAAGGACTTTTATTTTATAAAACTTATCAGCTTTATCCAACAGCAAAATGATTTAATGACCAGTAAACGACTGGTTATTCCACGAGAGGACAATAAAAGAGTAGATAAAATGGTACCCAAGCTTGCCTATGACCATATAAATTTATAACGTATATATTTGATGGGTTTAGAATGCTTGAATAAGACGTTGCGACAAATTAGGAATAGCCTATAAAGCTTCACATGACCTCTAACTCCCATCACACTCTGTATAAGACGCTGAATCAATGTTAAAGGTATGCGCCTACATCCGTTACAATGCAATTCTCTTAGTCAATAATGTCGTGTATAAATTTTCAACTAGTTATATATCAAGTTAAAATCATGACAGAAATTTTTTTTTCAATAATTTGTCAACCAATATATTATTTTGTAACACTTTCACTTTGTATGTTGCTAATTCAATTGATTAGTTACATTTATTTGCACAACCTTGTACGATATTTTTACATTCATATTAAAAATAAGTAGAGATAAATATTTTATAAAAATATATGTCTTAGTATTCATAAATTAGTATAACAATGTGTATTAAAAATTATAAAGTCTAAAGGATCCAACTGGGTCACAGATCACAATTTTATAGGGTATATATATTTCGGCAGCATGTAACATTTTCAAAGAAACTTATTTAAGCTGAATCGAAAATAAACATAATTGTGAAAGTGGAATTAATATCAAAAGTATTTTCCAGAAGTCACAAAATATTAAGTAAGTTTGCTTACAGTAGAACATTTTCTTAAACAATATTTTTCTATAGAAGAAAACACTAAGTCCGGCACCCTTTTGTATTACACAAGTTAAGATAAGTGATACTAAGATGTTGCTACATGGACCAGCGAAAACAACTCCTTCTTATGTAATTTGGCAGACTCTTACAAACGTTTTTCTAAACAAAAATCCAAATTTATTATGAAAATTATGCATAGAATATGTTTAGCAAAAGGTTTTATTTAGAATAAGCCTCTATCGTATTTTAAATACATAAAAATTGTAAAATTCATTAATAATGTAAATAACCATGTCGGTCATCCATATTGGAAATGACAAAATATTGACCGTGCGTCCATAATTTAGGATATAAGGAGGATGAATAATAATTTAAAATATTTTAAATATTACGCAACGCATACCTGATTTTTCAAATAACATTTTTCAAAAATATCATATACTCTATTTTTAATTAACAATAATTAAATGCGATGTGAAAATAAAGGACATATTCAGATAAATAATTGATTTTGTTTTAAAACAACAAAACGTAAAATAGAAAAATTTATATCTTAAAGACAATATTATATTATAGTATATTATTAAGAAATCAAAAAATCCCGGCTACTAACTAAACAGAATTATCGTATTGAAAAACGAATCAAGTATGAAAGTGATGGCTCAGAGAAGAACGCGAGTAAGTGGCAGGGGTGTAGTATATAAGTAAGCGCACTACTACCACGCTGACATAGTTCAGAGGAAACACGTGCTTCACTGCCACAAAAATAACAAAAAAAAAGAACAATGAAAGTACTGGTAAGTTTTATATAATTAATTAATTAATTTGTTAAATTAAAAATAATTTTCGATGACAATAATATATAGTAAATTAGGTCAGTATGTCAGAATTTTGGTTAGGTTCTGTTTTGATATTTATAGATTTCCGCAATATGTTGCGAGATCCAACTATTAGGGTCGGTAGACGAGTCAGTTGTTGAACTTTGACATAACGATGGAATGCCTGCGCCTAGTACTGCTTGGTTTTGTAAACTTTTGATTGCTATTTTGTACTAAAATCGAAGAAACTTTTCATTTAATTTTTGTACTTTTAATTTGAAATAAAGAAACTAACACAAACAATAATTACTACAATTAATTAGCAATTTTTAATATATTTAACTTGTAACTAAATTGTTCGTATCAATGAAGTACTTTCAGATATTCAAAAATGTTATTATAGTATTATCGTGTTTATGTCACGATAGCGTAATATTTTTCATTATAAAACTTGAATTACGAAATTAATGCTGATATACATCATTGAATGCATCATGATTGCGGTGCGTCAATTATTATATCACAACCAGGTACATTTAAAAGTAAAAACAGATTGGTTTTCGTCTTAAACTATTTCTCTTCTAAGATTACGACTAGCCGGTTATGTTATACGAACGGTCAATAGGTCAAAATTCAATTGCATAATAAGAACTTTCAATATAGCCTAGTTTAAAATGTTTTCTATATTATAACACTTAATGATAAATATACATATTTATAGATATTTTTAAGCTAAAAAATTTTAAAAGTTAATCTTAGAAGCCTCATCATATGAATGGAAATAAATTGTAAGTGGTGCTCTAAAAACTCAATAATCCATATTTTATGACTTTATCACAATTATTGATGAAACATCTTGCAAAATCAGTTTAGTAACATCGTTTATTCCATACACCTAGCTATAGTATAATACTTAGATTTATTTAAATTGCAACCTTGACATTATTATGCCACTTTAGTAAAGGACGAATATTTGAAAATGTGATCAAATCACGATGCCATTAAATTGATTCTTTACGACCTATTTTAATACTAAAATATTTCTCTCACCTGTTTATTCATTTATTATAATAATAAGTATTAAAATATGACATAACTAGTGTTATGAAATTTGAATGTCACGGTACTGAATAAAACTAGTTAAAATTAACAATGACAAGTGTATCTACAACATTTTTACTTGTAACTGCTTTCGCCCAGCGAGCCGAATGTCGCAAGCGCATTGTATCCGCTCCACCTTATCTTGCGACATAACGAATATGATTAAGCTCCTCTCCAGCTGACATCATTTAAGCTCATTATATATTGCAACAATACTATATTTATCTGTTTACTTATTGTTTTATAGTTCGTATTTTTTTTTTGCAATACCAATGTTAATGATTTCTGCAATATAATTTATTTTGTTAATAAGCACTTACAATTTACATAAATATTTGGTTTGAAATTATGTACTAGGTATTGGTAAATAAGTCAATTTAATAAAAAATAAGATTAACTTATAACTTAACTATACATTTTAAATGTTTTTTTTTAATTCTAGGTTGTGTTGTCAGCTGCCTTGGCGCTTGTCGCTGCTCTTCCACAGAGAAGAGTTTCATTAAAGCCCGAAGGATCGAACGACCAACAGGCTGCTGAACAAAACTATAACAACTACCAACAACAACAAGACTACAGACAACAACAACCCATAGAGGACTTCAGACCCAAGGTTGTACTTGAGACTAGTACTTACGTTCCCATCATCCGTTTTGATAAAGAACAAGGCACCGATGGCAGTTACAGAACAGCGTTAGTATACCTTATAATTAAATAATAATATTTATTATGAAATTTACCAAATACTAAACGAAAATAATTGTAAAGTATATTAGATAGAAAAGGTTTTAATAATTAATTCATACAATAATTTAGATATGAAACCGGTAATGACATCCAAGCTGAAGAGCAAGGTTTCTTGAGGAACGTCGGTGAAAATAATGACATACCGGCCTTAGTCCAACAAGGTTCATACTCGTACGTTGCCCCTAACGGTGAAAAAATCAATGTCGAATATACTGCTGACGAGTTCGGCTTCAGAGTCAAGGGCGATCATATCCCAACTCCACCTCCAGTCTCTCCTGAAATCCAAAAGGGACTTGACCTGATCTACGCTGGTATTAAAGCCAATCAGGTAATATACTAAGTACAAATATTGCCACACCATGCTTTACAATTTCATAAATATGCTAGGTGTTCTAGTAAACTTTAAATCTTCATGACATTATTTTTCAAATTTCAGGAGCGCGTCGCATTGGAAGCTAAGAACAACCCTGAAGCAGCCAAGGCTAACGAAGAGAGAGCTATTCTTGACTACAAAGGTCTTTACTACGGAAACTAAATAACAACAAACATACTTACAGTGAAATCAGTGACATTCTTACAACAACTAATAGTGTTATAAGGTTAAGTGACTGATCCTCTGCAAGTGCTCTGGGAGCAAAATCATAGTCATTTGTTTTTAGTAGAAATAATGTGAAACAAAAACAAACAGAAATATTCATTAATATACTTTTAAGTCTATAGTGTCATATTATATTGGAAGTTTTTAATGTTGCCATTTTTATGGCTTTCATAAGCTTTAATTTAGACCGGTTCCATTATTAAAATAAAAACAAAAAATATTTTATATTTTACATGACGAGTCTTTTAACAATAGTACTGACTTTTCAATATTAGAGGCTGGATCTTGTGAAAATGTGATTCACTAAAAAAACTGAAAGTTTCTTTTATCTGAACTGTGCTATCTTTGTTGTACATATATTTTTACCTGTAATTTATCATTAATTTTGGTTTAATAATAATAAAATGTGAAATATCTAATTAATGTGTATTATTTAAATAACCCTTCGGTTTTAAAACCAGTAAAAAAGTGACTTTAAAAATAAAAATCCATTATCTACAGTTTTGATGATCTTTATCAATAAGGTATTTGTTTTTCTTAATTTTAGTTAATGTTTTCTATAAAAAAAAAAACATTTTATACAGAAATTGGATAGAATTAATCAATTCAAATGAATTCATATCTCCTCAATAATAAAGAATATTCGAAAATTATGACAAGATATTTGGATCCATATGTTTTAAAACAAGTCAATACTCGTAACGTTACTGACGTTACTGGCGTTTAAACTTATTGAGACAGTACTTTAGGATTATTGTGCTTAAGCATTCTAATACAAACACATAAATTAAACATTTTACATTTCTGTTATTAAATTATCGTTACCAGTTTAAGTGAGTTTAATATTTCAACACTGAAGTTATGTTATTAAAACTAAGGACTTACGTATTAAACTAAGATTGTGATTAATTTGTAAAAAAAAAAATGAATATGGGAATATCGCCGAAAATGCTAAGCACCTAAGATAGTCCACTTTAAAAGATTTACTTATGATTAACGTCATGAATGTTACGAGTACAACAAATAATAGTGCAAGTGTATTACATTATCGCTGCGTAACTATTTCAAAGACGGACAGGTTTCATTTGCTTGGAGGCGTTAAGTCGACACATATTTATTCTAATATTTAAAGCCTTTTGAAAATCAATAACTTTAAAACTAATGTCTTGCCTAAACGGTCGTGATGGCCTAGGGTAAAAGCCCGCCCGGTTCGAACTTGGTACCATGTGATTTTTCAAAGTCATACGTACTTTCTAAGAGTATTTAGATACCACTAACTGAAAACATCGTGAGGAAACCCCGACTTATAATATCAAATTGTAAGTTTGAAATCACCAACAAGCTTGAGCAAGCATGGTGATGAATGCTGAAATCTTCTCCATGTGAGAAGAGGTCCTTTCTCAGTAGTGGGCTCTGATAAGCTGATCATGATGAAAATAAAATAAAAATAAATTTCATTTTCTGATTTTTCATGCGATTATACTCCCATGTGGGATTTCATATCATGATCAATATTATAATTCCCAAATATAGATCAGGTCTTTTCAGTTCTATTAAAATTATTTTAGAATATTTTTAGTTCTTTAAGTAAGAAGAAAAAGTCATAAATACTCGGAATATATTGTACTCGTAGAGTTATTGTCATGGATCCACTTTGCATACTATGTTCTTGATGATATGCGTCGGTATAAAAAATGCCAAAAATAGTATCATAAATGTGGGTGATCCAAATACAGTGTTTATTAATTAAGATAAAAATAATATATATTTTTAAGACAACCTTCAAACTATTTTGCATATTTGGGGCCATTTTAGAGACCAACTTCTAAAAAGGGATGACATTTTTGTCAACCTGTTTTTTTATACCTCGTGTACATACATATATCTCAATGTACAAAAAAAAATAGTATGAATAATAATATTCTTTGATTAATTTACTAGATAAGTAAATTAATCCTTTTAATAACTCCTGTATCTTACTCATATGTTTTTGTGCTCAATATAATTAGGTTTTTATTTATTTAGTTCTTAGAAAAAGCATCAAAGTTGCCGTAATTCATTAAGAAAATTTGGTTGCTATTTTTTTTCCTTAGGCCAGATATGAAACATAACAACTAAGGGTTGACTTAAAAATAGTAGATAGGAAAGTGACTATAGTTGAACAGTAGACAAGAAGAAGAAGATTTTCTAATAACTGTTTGTTCATCATTTTATTACACTGCAATTTTGTTCTCCAAACACTTTATACCTGAAGTGACTTTTGTAAATCCCAAGGGGTCTGTTTATTTCAATAAATTAAAGTAACAGATAACATATTTATGGCAATAAAACATTTATGTAAACAATATTATAGTCTTGTCTACATTTTGGCATAGTTATCATCATAATACATGTTTTAATTTCGTTTAAATGGTCAACATTAAGCTTTGCGATGTGGTGTGAATTCTTTACAAATAAAAACACTTTTTGTGTCAACGTTATGAACAAATAATTGCAATATTTTACAAACAAGTATTCAAGTAATCGTATTAATCATATGTGTCAGTAAAATAAAGTACCCGTATATTTTAGAACATTTTAATTAAAGGGAAATTTTTATAACTGAGTTAAATATTTCGAAAAAACAAAAGTCATATACAGATCGCCATTGCTCTATTATTTAATTAACGATGGTGTGCTAGGTCCTTTACAATAATTAAAAGATATAATAATGAGAAAAGTTACTTCTGTTTCTTTCTTATTAACGAGTTTTTGTTAATTGTATTTTTTGGTTTCAATAGTAGAAAACAATCAGATGGCCAACTTAATGGGAAGTAATCGCTATCACAAACAAACATCTGCATCATAAGAAAGTTTAAGGATGAATTGCCGGCATTAAATGTTGAGGAAGGTTGAAAGGATGGTAATAATGAGAAGGTAGGAAAGAGTGGGAACAGGAAAAGGTCTATCGGGTCTCGCCCTCGTCAATTGAAACGCAGCCCTGAAGAATAAATACTTCACGCTGATCTTCTGTGAGAGGGTGGCACTTTCCCGGGCTAGCCAGTCCATGTTCGAGCTATAGTTACTTGACCACAGCTAGGCTCTACCACGTTAAAAATTTAAGATAAGTATATTTTACTCATTTTGTTTGTTTTCATGAACGCTTTTTAGAACAAACAAATTCAGGGTAGACTATTCGTCTTTTTTATACAAACATAACTAACAAACTGGAGTCGTTGTTCAAATTATTGAGATGATTTCGTTTAATATTCTACAATCTAACTTTAACATAAATATTATTATCTATTGCTACCTGTAGGTATGCTAATTATTCTTAAACTTAATATACACCTAATGGATTAAAGATAATATGTTTAAGATGTATTAAAATGAGATTATTGAACATTTATAAAGTACTTCTAAAACTAATACCACGTATTATTAACGATATCTTCAATGATAAATGGTTATTGCTGAACTTGACATACTCGTATTTCACGCACGTGTGCTGTGACATCTTTAGAGTTTCATTGTCCGTTAACTAATGTAAATATGTAGTACATAACTGACGTAATGATAGGAGAATGCCCCAGAATTTGCAATGGTTGTCACCACCATTCATACAATCAATAATATTTTTCTTTACATACTAAGTAAATAATAGTTTCATTTGTCTAATTTGTAATTACTGTCTTATTTGATGTTAAGTGATTTTCTTTATAAAATAAAATCATTAAGTTTTCTCATCCAAAACTTGCATTTTTGTTCAACAACTTAGTTATACAATGATAAACCAGATCAAGATTTTTTGGATTACATAAAAGAATTTTGTGATTTGCTCTCTTTTTATTATATATTGATATAATAGAAAAAAATATTAATATCATGTCTTGTTAATAGAAGAAATGATATTAATAATTTTTTCTACAAAATTTAATAATTTTTCCCAAATTAGTAATCCATTTCTGTGAAATCTATTTCATTTATTAAATTACTTTTACATCACAAACATGTTAAGATTTCTTTGAATTATATATTGTATACTATATAAATATGAAATATAAATAAGGCCTTCTTTTTTTTGCTTGTTTTTATAGTTATTATGATTATAATTATTGTTATAATTAAATTGATAGCGTACTAATTAATACTGTATTATGTATATTTTCATTTTTGATTTGATTTTTTTAAATTTCCATATAAGCTGAGTTCCCTTTTAGCTTTCACGGTCATCACTAGTCAACAAAATAATGACATAAATTTTAACAACAACGGGTTAAATTGTTTTTGGGAAGAAAAAATACCTTTTTTTATTTTCTCGAGAACCAGGAACAACAAACCTAACTCCCGATAGCAATTAGAACTAAATGACTACTAAAAAAAGAAGTTATCATTCTGAACTCATTAAACACCTAACCAATTAAATAATTTGAGAAAAAATTAAGTGATTAAAATTTTAATCGACATAAACAAAGAATCGTCAATAATGCAAAGGCTAGAGTTGTAAGAAAAACTTTGTTTATCATACTCTGTATAATAACTCCTAAGATATTTCTGAAAAAAAAAACGATTTAAACATGATATGAATAAAGTATGTTTACTAACTTTATAGAATTGAGCAAAAATATACATTTAGGAATTTGACGAATACCATCAGCACTTCACTGACATTCGGTCGTTAATATCATCTACTATCTTCAAGAAAACTCACAATATTTATCTTACAACTGAAATTATTATTTTCATATTATTTCAAACTCTTGAAAATGAGGTGGATATATGCAAGAAAATCCCAAAGATGTTGTTAACATTAGATCAAAAATGAACACGATTCCAATATCTCTTGTTTCAATAACACCGTAATTACTTATAATGGATTTTCATTATTTTATATTTAAATTGCATTTGTAGTGCGTATTTACGACAAGTATAAAATTGTGCATGTATGTATATTAGATGAGTAGTCAGGATGAGCACAGATCGCGTAAGTTCATAGGTAAAGAAGCTGGTATATAAACCCATTGCAGTGTCACTATTAACACACTTCAGTCGCATCTTAGTGCATTCAGATCCAGCACGAACATCATATAACTTTCAACATGGTAAGAGTTCCTTCCGCAATAGCTTATTCTAATAGCTTACTAGCTTCTATTTCCCTTATGATGCTTTAACGATGCCATTTGACTGGATCAGATTATAAAGGAATATTTCTGTAAATTAATTGTAAAATAGATATTTTGCTTGTAACCAGCAATTATAAATGAAATCGTGCTTAACTTTTGACACTTCATTACAAAGTCTTTCATGTAAAATGAAACCTTCCTCAACATTTTAGACCTCCAGAAATTGCTCAAAATAGTATGGAAGAGTTCCTTACATTAATAAGAATTACAAAATCTGTCATAATCCTTTTATCTTAATAATTTAAAATGATTAAAAGTATAATAGATAAAGATATGTATATCAATTATTATAATCTTAAGAGTCCATTCTTAATTTACCTTTAATAAACTTGGTAACATAATAATACAATAATCGGGTCTAAAAACTATTTTAGTAAATATTTCTTTAAAAATAACACATGTAAATAATTTAAATTACACAGGATACGACAAAGGACGCATCTTTATCATAATATTATGTACATTACCTACATATTCAGTCACGGATTCCTTTCTTTCCCCATTCCAGTATAAATATACATATTATATTCATGTCACGTTTGACTTGAGATGAGCTTTAAGCGTTTATATATACATATCTTTTGATTTTACGAGGTGAATAATCGGAGTTATGATCTCGGTATATCATTCTGTGATATGAAAAGATCTGTTACGAATGTTGTCTGAAGTATTCATTGATATACATATGTAATTCTTTATTCACCTTTACAATATTTTAATTTTCAATAGAACTTTTGCCTTTTACATCATTCGAAGAAAAAAAAAATGTTCCATTCTACAAGGCATACTAATAATATGAATATAATTAATATACATTCAAAATGCTTTTAGAAGCGCCTTCTCAAAATTTTCCTATTTTTACTATATTATGTATTTGCTCTTTTTCAGTTTTCCAAGTCGAGTATTATAAACTATCGTTATTTCTATCCTATTTGTTATTTTTTTTTAACAGATCTATATTCTTCTTGCGACTCTGCTGACAGCTAATATTATAGCTCAAGCACAAAGACCAAATGATCAAATTCCAATAATAAGATTCGAAACTGATGGTCCAAACGTCGATGGCTCCTACAAATGGCTGTAAGTATTATTTATTTCTCTTTTGCCTAAGACAGAACCAATGAATATGCAATTGTTTGCTCAATCCCTGTTAAAAGAAATGTTTTAAAGAAAAGATATTTTACCCATCAAAATTGGTGGTTTGAAGACCTCGAACGAATTATTTTCTTCAGTTTTATATAAGAATCGTTTGTTAATTTCAACAATTTACGAATATATTTTAAAACCACGTATAGTAACTTACACTAAAACTGTTTCAATTATTGAATTTAAGTAATATTATTAAATATAATTCAACAATATTTAATTTTAAAGTATATAACATACTGATAACCATTTTTAAACAGATATGAAACTGGAAATGAAATTAACGCTGCAGAATCTGGATATGTTAAGAATTTTGGAAAGGGGGAAGGACAGGAAATACAAGTTGCAGAAGGACAATTCAGTTATAAAGCTCCTGATGGTTCACCAATTGCTCTCACGTATATCGCTGATGAAAATGGCTTCCAGCCACAGGTAAGTGACTACTTTACAGTAGGATTTTCAACACAAAACAATTCAAAACAACATAAGTTAGCTGACATACTTATGACAGAAACATTTTCTCTGGAATCAATCAAATTAGACTCTATAAACAATAGTAAAAGATAGACAGAACAGACTTTTGATAGCAATCAAACATAATGAAAATAAGTATGTTAATATAAAAAATAATAATAGTTTTAATACGAAATCTTTTGTAATGTTATACATGTAAGAACGAAAAATTTTATAAGTATCCATCTAAGCCTCAGGTGTGAACTTTAATATCTAGATTAACCTTTTGATTTATGAATTTAAACACTATGTTTTGTTTCAAGTTATGGTTACGCAGGACATGTATGTACAAAAGATTTTATCAATATGTGTGATCTTAAACTTGTCTGATTTGTTTTGTCAGCATTCTTTTTATGCATTCCATGATTTTTAAATGCAATTATCTTTATGTTAAACAAATGTGTTTGATGTTTTACGTATCATAAATTTGTTATCTAATACTTTGGCGTGACTTACATATAAATTCCATTGCACAAATGATTTATCTGTCAGATACATCCTAGTGAACTTTATTCCCATGAATAACGTAAATGTTAAGGATATGTGGTGAATGCTAAGACATTTTTATAGTTGCTTCATAATAAACAATATTTTCAATTACAATAGGGTATTCTAACGATTATTTGCAACTGTAACCTTGACATCTTGCTATCGTTTTAACTGATGTAGATTACTACATTTTTCCAGCTTCCATTAAAATTGTAAAAGCTACCAGTTTTAATTACATTGCGATGGACCCATCACCTATATGGTGAATCCATGGCATGCTGAGAAGTTTCGAGTCATATATTTGATTTTTACGATGTTGTAACATTATTTGGGTAATATTTCAGGGAGCGCATCTGCCAACACCACCACCTATTCCCCCAGCAATCCAAAGGGCATTAGACTACTTGAAGACTCTTCCACCTTCAGCTGACTCCAACGTTCCAAGAGGTGCATCATTCAGAGGAAAACGTTAAATGACCTAATTCTTAAATAGCTTTATTATAATTTACCCCAACATGTTTAGTATTTATCTAGACCCATTAACTTCTATAAAATATTTTATTTTAAATATTATGCTATCCTTGACTTGTTAACGAAACTTTTAAACTAAAACTGCGATACTTTTTTTTTATTTTTATCATTCCTAAACTTAGTTGTTTTGTTATTATAGGTACAACAATAGATACTCTTCGTAAATAAAATAAAGATACTGTAATCAATACTCGGATTAAATAAAAGTAATTTTGATTTTATTCTTTATTTTCATCGTTCTTCGTGCTTTTGAGTTACAGTACCAATAAGTAAATAAATAAATAGAATGCATTTTTTATTTCATTTTATCACTCACTGAATAAGTTCAGAGAATAGTAACTTCAGTGGCAAAATAACTGAAACAGAATATGCCTGATCTTACAATTTCAAATCCATCTTCTGAAATATACCTTTCCTGCGATATTTTCTATTTGATATTTTCTCAAGTAGAAAGTTACTTGTTAATATATGAAATTTCCAAAATATGTATAACAATTTATAGCAACAACATTTTAAAAATAATATAATCATCAATAAAATCAATCAATATACTGTACTCATCTAGTGTTACCAATTTTTTTTTATATCTTTATTTTGTTAAATATGATCAACAATATTGTCAAGATAAAGTACTCGTTCTGTTTTAAACGTTTCGGAAATTAAGGAATATACAAATATACCTTAGTATACACAATAAAAAAAAATATTCTGATGAATTATTTTAAATTTCATTTATATTGTTTTATATTTTTAGTTACAGTTATTGAAACTGAAAATAGTAATTGCTCCTAAAATTACTATTGTTAAAAAAAGTGAAAGTGAAAGTTGGAAATGTATGAAAGTACTTATACCATAAAACTTGAATATGTTTAATAGATTTTGATAAAATTGTGCAATAATTTAGCTTTTACATTAGAATAAGATATAGAACATTTACCTTGAAATCTAGTGTATCTTGTGTGTAATCAAGCTAAAACAATGCTATTGTGTATTAAGTCACGTGGCAGAGACTATAGACATATTTGTGAGATTTACATAGGTAGGTGACCAGAAAATATGCAATTAACAAATTATTCTGCCTTGAATGAAGATAATGGGAGCTTACGATACCCTACCAGAGGCAAGTACACATCTTTATTAAAGAATGAATGGAGGATTATAGTCTTTTAAATTAAATTAGGTTTTATAGCTAAAAATATTGCATCAATGTATTTATAGCGACCTGATTGCTACGTAATCAACCTGATATTTCCTTAAATATTTATTGATATACATACCTGTACATTTTGTAAAGAATGATGGTTAACGATTGCATGACTTCTTTAAGTTATTCTCGTGAACTTTTTTCCTGAACTTTGAACAAAATGTCTTTTTACCTTGTCGCTTGTTTTACGCTATCATCAAAACTAGTTGTTGTTTACATAATCTATTAGGAAAATCATAGTTTTGAAATCTAAAATTAACAGGAAATCGATGTTACTATTTGAAGCTGAGTGATAAACTTTTTTTCTCTTAATGTCTGCAGTTGAACGATATCTAATATATTTACAATTTATTTTATTACAGCCATAGTAACGAAAATTAGGAGAAATAATATTTTAAATGTTATTTAATATGAAATTCTTTTAGCAATTATTAATACAAAATATTTTACAGATTTGTGAAAATTTTTAGTGTTCTTGTTTTAAATTACATAGCTGAATAGAAAACTATTTTCAGTTGAACTAAGAACTAAGTGACCTAGTTACAGTATATGTTCATTTTATTTCGTCTATGTTACTGATACGTCATGCTGTAATGGAAATGTTGGCTATTGTAATATTAATAATTAATTAGTTTTTAAATTGTATTTTTTTAATTATCTATTCATAAGCCGTCATTGCAAATAGTTTTATAACAATGCTACTAACATTTACAGAAAAAAAGGAAATGGATGATTAAACCGTTTTTGCTGAAAAAATACTAATGTATAATGAATCTTAGCAGTATATAAAATGTACATGTCTTATAATTTCCACTTTGTTGAGATCGCGACCACCACCAGTCCACTTCGATATTATTATATTATTTATATATTTAAATCAAACTGTCGCTAAGTATCATATATAATGATAACGTTATTATTAGCCACAGTGGCGATAATGTTTTTGTATTTATACGGAACCAGAAGCTTTAATTACTGGAAAAACAAAAGAGTGAAATATGATAATCCAATACCGTTCCTTGGTACCAATGCAAGAAATTATATGATTCAGTTGAGTACTACGCAGATTAGCGACGAGATGTATAGGAAATACCCGACGGAGCGCGTAGTGGGTTGTTTCTATGGCATGCAACCTGGGCTAATTATCCGTGACCCTGAGCTGGTAAGGCACATCCTCACCACAGATTTCTCTTCTTTCTATTCACGCGGTCTTAATTCACATCAGCAGATAGAACCACTGCTGCGAAACTTATTTTTCGCCGATGGTGATCTATGGCGGCTGCTTCGGAAGCATATGACCCCTGCATTTACAAATGTTAAATTAAAAGCCATATTTCCATTGATCGAATTACGTGCGGAGCAACTGCGGATTCGTATACTCAAAGATTCTACAAAATGTCTCGCGATTGACGCACGTGACATTATGGCGCGCTATACCACAGATTTTATTGGCAGTTGCGTGTTTGGTCTCGAATCTGATTCGCTTCATGATGAAAACTCGGCATTCCGAAAGCTCGGTGCAACTATATTCAATATATCTGCTAAAGATGCGATCGTCATGTATCTGAAACAAATGTTTCCCAGAACATTTAAAAAATTTAAAATATTGGGTCGTGTTGAAAAAGAGATGCTGGCGCTGGTGGATGAGGTACTCCGACAGAGAAACTATAAGTCAAAGGGAAGAAATGACTTTCTAGATTTGATGCTAGAATGTAAGGAGAAAGGACTCATCACTGGTGACTCCATAGAATTTATGAATCAGGATGGATCACCGCAGAAAGCCACTGTTGACCTTACGTATAGTTTGATAGCAGCTCAAGTCTTTGTATTTTTTGTAGCTGGCTTTGAAACTACCTCTTCTTCAACAAGCATAACTCTGCACGAACTTGCTCATCATCCCAAGGTCCAAAAAAAAGTTCAAGAAGAAATTGACAAGGTCCTCAAAAAATATAACAACAAACTTTGCTACGAAGCTATCAAGGAAATGACTTACTTAGAGTGGACTTTTAAAGAAGGGATGCGAATGTTCCCGTCTCTAGGATATTTGATAAGGCAATGTACTGAACGTTATACTTTCAAAGATCTCGATCTCACCATAGACAAGGGAGTCAAGATTATAATACCACTTCAAGCAATGCAAAATGATCCTAAATACTTCGATAATCCAAGTGAATTCCGTCCAGAAAGATTCGACCCTAAAAACATCGACAATAGTAACAAGTTCGTATATTTGCCATTCGGGGCTGGTCAGCGCGCTTGTATTGGTGAGCGCATGGCGTTATTGCAGTCCCTGGCGGGGCTAGCCGCTGTGTTGTCTCGGTTCTCCGTTCACCCGGCACCAGAAGCACCGCGAAAGCCTGTTGTCGATCCCCGTTCAAACCTAGTACAGGTTGTGCGAAAAGGATTGCCGCTCATCTTCACTGTCAGAAAGTAGCACTAACCCATGACGAATGTTCTATCCATATTTTTATTTTAAATTCTATTTCGAAGGTATTTGGAACTGGTGTTCTTGGTATGTTAGTACTTCACAATATTTCATATATTAGAGAAGTGAAATGTACAATTTATTGTATTAATTATAATAAATAGCAATTTTTTTTGTTATTGCAAAAATAAAAGAATAATGCAACTTTCTTCAATCTTCCACAAACATGTAACATTCCCACTTCTACCACAGATATAATAATCCTGAATATATATTTTTAATATTTTTATCTAACGTGTCATAATATTAATTAAATTAATTTATGATGACCCTTACATCTGTATTTTAAAAATCCAAAACTAGGTTTAATATTCGGATTTAGTACTATAATTACTTATTATATTTTTCCTATATTTGAAATTCATTTTGAGATTATAATTGTCTGAAACTCAGATCATCTATAGCTCATTTGATGCGGACTAATGCGGTTTCCAACGACGATCTTTTTTCGTTATCAATTTGTTTTAAACTCGAGAAAATCTTAGATCTCATTATTTTCAATTTCTCTTTAAAAACCATTTTTTTATTCTAAAGGGGCAACCGAGCAGACGGCCTACCTGATGGAGGTAGTACTGTCGCCCACGGACATCCGTAACATCTCTTATGTTGCAGATGTGTCGCCACCCTTGACTGGGGAAGAGTAAAGAATAGTAGTAGTAATTTAATTAATAATAATTTATTAATTAAATTTTGTATTGTTTGGAGTTATTTGCATACATACAAGAAAAATAAAAAGCTAACAAGCTTAGCTTAAACCACATCATAAGTTTATACTATTTTCTAAGCTACAAATGTGATCTTTTATTTAAAGATAACCTTTTGATTTTCTGTGAAAAATGAAATTATACGGATGTTTATTCAAAGATTTCTTTAACGTTATGGCTACTTGGAACATGCGACTGATCTTATCCATGTATGAGTGATCTTCAACCTGCCAGTTTCGTTTGTCGGTATTTCCTTATTAGTCATTTTATGATTATCTAAGTTTTAGCTTCTTATAGCAACCCTAATATATTGTAATATAACCTTTGTGTCAAAAATTTAATGTATTATGTTTGATGTGACTTGGTTATAGTTTAATTCTATTATACAAATGCCATAGCTGTGAGTACATCTCAATGTGAACTTTACACCCATGAATAACGTAAATGTTAAGGATCAATATTTAACGTTCTCTGTTTTTTATGAGCTAAAAATAAAAAGAATATTTATTAAATGTTTTATACATACTTACCAAAATTGAAAGATGTTTTAAGTATTCATAACATAAAACGAAGATTATTTATTTAATAATGTCTTACTGAGTACAATAAGACGCACAAGTCACAATCCGAAGACCTTTTTTTTCTCGCTTCGAATGTATAAAGTAATTATATATTCCATACAGTAGTAGTACGGTTTTCAATAAACTTCAACTTCAATAGCTTAAAACAAAAATCTCCTTCATTGAAATAGTGTTATCATCGAACAATTACTAATAATACCTTTGAATCATAAAACTTGCGTAACTGACCTATACAGGATGTCTGAGTGAAACGGCGGGCGTAAGTCTAGGTCAGTCAATATAGGAGTGCGTAAATGTCACCTCAAATACATAGTAATGTTATTGACCTGTTGTGTGGCTACTTCTACCACACTTGTAATATAAAATTTATAATTCGTTAAAATTGGTAAGGCCACAACCGATTGAAAAACCATCCTAGTTTATGGTAACACTACGCAATCTTATCCGGAGTTTATTTGTAATAAAAATGAAGGTCTTCTTAATTTACATATAAATATTATATGCCATATAAATCAATCTGATTTTACTACCAGAAAAATTGAGTTTTGAAATATCCTAATATATTAAAAAACCATTCGCAATATTTTCATTCAACGTATTTTATCTAAATCTCTATTCTCACTCACAGAACTTTCTGTGATAAAAATTTTATAAAACATTTAAATGCATTATAAACATACCACATTTTTAACATAACAATAAACTTTCAAAGCTCTTGACATAAATACAATTTATATAAGTAGCGTCAAATCTTGAAGGTTCTTAACATAATAACAAATAACCAAAATAGATCTTTGTAGGACAGGTATTGTCTTAAATTGCATGATTGTCATATGTAGCGGGTCATAGGCGGAGTGCAATTTTGTCGCATTACAACAGTTATGATAATTACGATGTTTAACATATTTGTAGTTGGGAATACATTATCAGTAGCAAAGCAGATAAATACTATTTAAATTTCACAGTGCTAATACATTATTTTAATGAAATTAAGGGGAATAAGAATATCCTCCTAACTTTTTCTTCCGCAAGCAGATTTCAGGATATAAAATAAGGCGTTCGGGATATAAATTTCCTTAAAAATATAAAGTTCTTTGAAAAACTAAAACAGAACTAATATAAAAATATATAAATTACCTTATTAAACTGTACCCCAATAACTCAAATTGGCATGACTTATCTGCATTCATATTTTTAGTTTGACCTTGAGAGTATTACGCCTCTCCCGGCTCTTGGACGTGGGATCAAACCACAATGAAATAATATTTGTAAACGATTTTCTCAAAACATTTTCCTGCTATGACTTAATTTATTCTAATATTATGAATACAATATATAATGAAAGTACTTTTATAATAGATTGACTTAATCCGAAAAGAATAACAATAACTTTTTTATATAAATAATATTCTTAATGCGTTTTTTCATTGTTTGATCTATTAATGAAACGATTGTATGTTTATTTATTTTTTCATAATAAATATATTAAAATGAACAAAATAGGGCAGTTAAATTTAAATCTGTGTTTCACTTTGTTCTTACACAAATAAACAAGTAAAAATATTAAGAATGAAATATTTATTTAGAGAAAATATATTAATTAAAATAAAGCAAATGTGCTGACTATAATGATGTTGCCTTTGGCATTGATGTAAAAGGTCAAATTTTAATAATAAAAGTTAACGCCTATTAAATGTTATAGTGCAATTTTTTATCAATCAAAAGATATCAAAACTATTGAACATGTTACCTATTACAAATATGTTTCAATCAATTCATATATAACATTCTACTATATTTTTGCCTATTGAGACAAGTTGCAAAACAAGAAATATATTTTTATGGCACTTTAGAGTTACGAATGTTAGCCTTGTTTTTATTAAACGATCTGAATTTTGAATACCAACTTCTCCATATATGACTTTCGTCTAAATAACGTAAGAGACGCATCTTAAGTCATTAAATTACATATTTGGTCAAATATGTACTAGAAGAGGGAAAATATTTTCTAAAATAGTAGTAGAAGCTGTGTCAGTATTAACACCATAACCTACCTTCTCTTTCGTATCATGCGTTATTATTATTTTGAACTCCAAACAAATGTTAATAAAAATTATATTTAAATTATCTTTTTACGTATTCCATGCGCTTTCATAATTTCCTGACTGATAACTATTAAGACATCTAATGCATAACAGAGTTTAATATCATAAAAAAAATAAAACAACATCCGGGTTACCCATAAGGACTTTGGGAAGAGCCGAGCCGAAAACTTTTTATTATCCTTGCACCTGTAAAATACAATAATTACCTTATAGATTAAATTCAAATAAAAGTTGGTCATAAATACAATTACGAAGTGAACTACTAATTATGTATCATTCATGTCAGTACACTAATGGGGTTAATTATCTCAAATCAAATTATGGGAAGACGCTAACAGATGCATGTTTTACGTAAAGTCATCAATCTTATACTTGAATCAAGCACACAAATAATTTGACATTCTATATTATCAGCGAAATGCCACACGTGATGTTATTTTGGAAATGCAGCACGTGAATAAATAATACAACGTTTTTGTTAAATATTATATTATGTAACATAATTTGTCTTCAAACTAAATACTGTCTTGATAATAACAAAACATTAGCAGTCACTTCTGGACGCTAACATTTATTTTCTCTCATCAGATACCTTGTCTCTTGGACACTAAAATGTATTGAATGATATTAAAAGATTTTTTTTTCAATTGTCTGTAAGTTTCGGACAGTTATTGCATCTCAAGTATAATATAAAAAAATATGTAAAAATAAGAAAAATAAACCTGTTCATAAGCAAATTCATATAAGTGTTACAGAACGCAAAAAATATCTATAGCTTTTTTTACAATTTTATGTCTGTTTTTTTTTTGTTCACCTATTTTACTTACACGTTTGTAAAAATCTGATATTTTATGTCTGAAATTCATTATTAACAATGTGAATAAAAACATTATATCGAAATTAATTAATTCATAGCGATCTCCATTTGTATAAACACTTATTTTTAACAGCGAGGAGTAATTTTTTTCTGGAACTCAATATAATCGGTCTATCAAACATTGTTCCGCATTATGATCCTTCAATAAGAAATCCTTTGTTATTTTTATAAATGCATAAAATATTTAACGTGACCTTCTCAGTATCATCAGAGATGAATGGTTATAATTTACATATTGACCTACGTCTATTGGGTTAGGCATATAAATGCTGTAATGTAGAATCATTAAAATTGATTGCAAATAAAATAATGTCATGCTAATAATAAATATTCATACAGTTTTTTTTTTCAACTAAAATCTAGAAAAATGTTAATAGTAGTATCTACATATTTATACACTACATGTTAAATAAAAGAGGTCTAGATAATTTTAAACAGAGTTTCAAAGGATTTTCATGAATGGTTTTATTCAGTAGTTGAATATGTTAATGATACACTGTCGAAAAATTATTACCAGAAAACTGCCTAAAATCCTTGTTTCAGACGATATATGTACTTAATTCTTTTTTTAAAATTACTTTAGCTGTACCCGGTTAGTGTAAATATAATATATGCGATGTTCATTGATAGTTCTTCAGTTATGATGATATAAAAATAGCATTTATGACTTCATAATTGATTCATTACACGATATCTTTAGCTGCAACAAGAACGGAAAATAACAATATATAATAATTTATTCAGATATTTTCTTTGTCAGAAAAAAACCCTATTTTACTCTATGTAATTTTTAATTTCGACCAAAGATATGCTACTTAAGCTTAATAATATATAAAAAACATAGTTTTTTATTAAACATAACTAAAAATATATTTCACTTCTTTTTTTTATAATTTTAAATGTTTAAAAACAAAAATGGACGCAGTTGTTATTTTGTATTAGATTTAGAATATCAATTACTTCATGGTCAAAACTAATCTGTGGTTTAATAAAACAATTAAATTTAACTGTCGTGAATAGTCTTATGCTATAAAGAATAACTACATTGAAAAAGAATAATTAATTTTGTAAGCTTGTAAGGTATACCTTCAATTTGTAGGTGTTCCAAAATGATCTTGTAAAATAAATTAATTTCTGTGTAAATTCTTAATGTCTGTGTAAAGTACAAAGTGATCAGTATTTAAAATTTTACGTACATTCAATATTATCTATAGTTTAGTAGTTGTCAAATAAATTTTGTATTGTTATCTTCGTTCATTACAAATCAGTTACAAAATCTCCATCATATGGACAAATACATAAATTTAATTTAAAGTAAAGTAATAATAATCTCAGATACTGTAACGATATTTTTGGTTAATATTATTTTAACTTTTTTAGTAGAATTTGAAATTTGAGTTTTAAAACTTGTAAACGTTTGTCATATGTATACATACATTTCTTTTTTAAGAAGTATAAGAAAGTCCATAATTACTTAATTTCTTTTAAATAAAAAGTTTCTATCCATTGTAATGTTGCATAATAGTGCTTAAGGTCAAATTATAAATATTACCTGATATGTCCCTCCCACAAGTAATTAATTCTGCTATGCGGTTGTACATCTTCAATATGGAGGAAGCAATGAATGTGCTTAATAATGAAAATTTATGGATGCACTGTCATACTTGGACAGCCTTAATTAACATACTTTTATGTAAATGTGACTAGGAATTCTCATCATTAATGAAAATGTACTTAAAAGCAATTCGAATTACCCTTTCCAAAATCAATACTTAATGCAACAGGAAATCTTTAATCGACGTGATTTTGTTTCATCAAGTTTTTTTTAATTTCATAATTTTAAATAAAATCTTTTTAATGTTTTATACGTGCAAATGTTTCTTATTTAAACTAGTATAATCTACCAGAACGACTTCATTTCATAATTGAGCATCTGTAGCCTAATATAGGGCAATCTTAAAATAATATGGAGAGCATAGAAATGATAAAGTATTTACTTTCTTGTTTCATAAGTATGACATTGTAATCGTATGACATATTATGTAAATACAAAAATTCTCTGAAAACGCCAAACGTTTACTTAAAAATATTAAAAAAGAAAGATATAAATTTTATTGTAAAAGAAAAAACCCAGACAGGTAATAATAAAAAATAAAAATCAATAGTAATTACCTCTTAAAATGCATTTGAATATTGCTTGTAGGCTATTGAGGAAACTACATCCTCGCGTATGCGCCACCGAATTGTTATACTCCAATTTTGCACTATACTCTGACGCCATTCAGTATAAAAGACGCTGCGTTCAATCTGAAAAATCATTCCAGCTTTACACATCAACCGAGGATCATCATATTCTTATCTGAATTTTATCTTATACAAAATATGAAATCGGTAAGTGAATAAGTAAAATTTACAAAAATTATTGCATCTGGATTTGAACGTGCATAAGATAAAGTTCCTTTAAAAAATGACAACACTAAAGTAACTTAATTTTTTTTAAATGTATACATTATATATACATATTATGGTCACAACTTTGTTGAATTACAAAAAAGTGGTGACATTATTAAATTTAATGAGAATATTGCATAAAAACTTACTTGCTCTTTAACATCTTAAATGACATGTACATAATGAGTTTATTCTTAAAACTATATAAAATTCTTTTCAGTTCATTGTATTATCGGCTCTGGTAGCCCTGACCTACGCTGCACCCCAATTCCAGTACCAACAACAGCCTCAATACCAGAACCAATTTATCCCAATCTTGCGACAGAACCAGGAAATAAACCCTGATGGATCTTACTCATTCAGGTACTGATCGATAACTTATGAAAGTTTTAGTTCAAAATATTAATTGAAAAAATTTAGTATTTGGGTACATTCCTTTACATCCTATTTATATCGTGTGCGGTTAGAAAAAAAATTAAATTCTTCAAGCACCCCATTTTCAAAGTTCAGATATATATTATATTGTTTTAGTACTGCCATTTTGGTTAAAAAAAAAACTTTTTTATAACGGGCTACCTTCAGAACTTACTCCAATTTACTTATACTATTATATAGATCTATGACACCAAGCAAAATTTTAGAAGTAAGTGTTTATTTTGTATTTTATAATTCAGATTTTTGCCAGTGTATCCAAATCCTAGATGCAAAAAATTAAAACGAAATTCAAATGTTGCGTTATATAAACCTATTAATTCTAATAAATTTTAACATATTACAAATTTAAAAAAACGTACTACATACTTATTTGTACAGAAATAACATCTCTAAAATATTCGTGACTGAAATGACTTAACCGCTATTGATGAATCAGATGCATTCTCATATTGTAACATCTGTAACCGATTTTGACATATGTTATCTATGAATTAATATCGCTATAAAACATCTTCTATATCCATGTTAAATTTATTGAAGCAGGTTTATTAAGAAATTCAACATCGTATCGGATCGAAAATGAAATTCCTTTGGAGTCAGGTATATTATGAGTTGATTTTGTGGGAGTCACCTACAAGAGTTCTCAGACAAGCCCTCGTTGTGTAACACAATACACCGCCTGTTGCTATATCGTTACATATGATAATTTACAACTATTTGGTAACATCACATAATACATGGATTAGTCTGTTTTAAATGTAATAGTATGTAGAATTTTTTGTGTGCAATTTTGCAATTTATGTAAAAAGAACACACATATTCAGCATCACGGAATTCATAAAAAACTTGTTTTGTTGTAATTTCCTCAAGAGACGATGGCCCCAAACGATTCTTATCATTTTCAGAAATATACGAAACCTCCTCTAATGAGATGCATAATGTGCAATAAAAAGATAACTTAAAAAGGAATAATAATATGTATTTTTTTAATACACAACATTTTAACTTATACATTTTTACTTACAGCTATGAAACTGGTAATGGAATAAATGCTCAAGAGCAAGGCTACCTCAAGAACCCCGGTATTAAAGACGCTGAAGCTCAGGTCGCTCAAGGTTCCTTCAGCTATACCTCCCCCGAGGGTATCCCAATCAACCTAAAATATTACGCTGACGAGACCGGTAGGCTTTAAATAAATTTTATTAGCAATAGTAAAATTTTGTATATTATAATGCATATTAATGATAACTATCTTTACAGGTTTCCACGCCGAGGGTGCTCATCTCCCCGTCCCTCCTCCAATCCCAGAAGCCATTGCCCGCGCTCTCCAATACATCCAATCCCAACCCCAGCAACCTCAAAACCAATACCAAGGTTTCCGAGGTTAATTCCGTGTAAACCGACCTGTACCCTATAAGTATTATTAGGTTATTCCTAATTCTTATAGGACGCGATATAACCAACGACAAACGTGAGATCTCCTATTCACTGAATGTTTGAAATGATGACTCAATGATAACTAGTTATAAATATAATCCTACTGTGATTTACTTTATATTATAAGATATATGATAATAAAAAATGTAGTATTGTGTATTTTTTCTTTTATTGACTGAATTCTGCTAGAACTTTAAATTTATGGTATATATTTATTCTTCAAATATTATGAACAAATTTTAAAACCAGAATCTATAATTGCACATTTAATTTTCCGTCAGTAATTAAATTGAGAATAATAATACATATTAGACCGGCAAGATAGCTTTTATATATTGTTATACTTATTTTGCCTTCTTACTATTCTTATTGGGTGCAATTTTCCAGTACTGAGAACTACAGTTTAAAAAATAAAAACAGTTTAAAAGTTTAAAAATTAGTATTAAAAATCCAAAAGATTTAACTTTAGTACTTAAAGTTCTAATTAAACATCAGAAAACTGTATTTGTTTTATTAATTAACTGAATAATTTATATAAATAAAGATAATGATTCAACATTTGTTTGCAATTCGTTGAAATATACGTTCAATGTTTTAACACTGAATGTATATTTCAAATTCTCTTAAAAATCATAAAACATCAGTTAAGGACACTGAAATACAATTTGGTTGATAGAAGATTAGAATCAGTAGCCTAAAAATTTATTAGCAATACCATTTAAAATATATTTTTGTACAACACTATAAAAACCAGTTTTTTTAAAGGCTTGTCATTCTTCAGAGAACTCTGTCATAATATCCTTAGAGACTTTCTTTAAAAGACCCAGTCTAGACAGAATGTTGATGGCTAGCGTCATATATCGCCTCGTGTATATTTATTTATTTGGAAACAAACAGCATATACACATCATAATAATTTTCACATATTAAAAATAATTACATAAGCCAACAAAGTTTCCACTTTTGCACAGTTTCATGAAGTGAACATAGAAAAAATACTTATGATTATCAGAATTTAAACATTTTACAATTCAAAGTGAATTTAAGTATAAGAAAGAAAAACAAACATCTTGAGTGTAATAACTATATGAGCTTTTTCAAAAACGAGAATACTTTAAAACTCTGTCATTAAAAATATCAACACAGTTAAACAATGTGTTATAGTTAGTACAGGCTCTTACGAGAAAACGATTTTTTGCATAATTTCTTTTACATAATGGGACAGAGAAGATATGTTTACATCGTAATGAAGAATTAGAACGCTTAAAAAATATGTAATATATCTAACATTATATAAACAAAATGATTTTTTTATTTTAATCCATACTCACCAGACTTCAAATACGATATGTAATTACTATCGAACCTGTGAATTATTTAATAAATAGGACAAAACGGCTCAGAAACATACTTTATGAAATTGCCTGACATTTGTGTTATATAATTTAAATTCACTTTCATACAGCTGCCAATCGTAGTATTCTTCAATTATATAATTCTTATCAACCTCGAACTTTATATTTCTGAATTTCCAATATTGCATTTATTGCAAGAATATACGAAATTCCAATTAGGTAATTTAAATAGTAAAGAAGGACGAGTAAGAAACTTCTATATAATTAAACCGAAATAAATTATTATCGAAATAATTTGAAACCCAAAAAAAAGGAATATTCCTTAGTTTATTGTTCTAACTTTAATACGTCCGCGTCGTTTGAACGAGTGTACCAAATTTTAAAGAAAATTTACAAAATAATATTTTTATTGAACTTTGCGTTTATTTCACTTAAAAAAGAGACTGTCTTTTGGGAAAAAAAATTAAGAATAATTTTTGCTTTGTAGTTGTTGTAGTTTATAAAATAAAAGAGGTAACTTTATAAAACAAAATAACAATTAATACTATCCCTTTTTTAATGTCAGAAAATTTACAGCGCCATCTATCGTAGTATAACTAAAGAGTAAAAACATTGCCTCTTGCAGTGAGCTTATGTTTTAATTTTTTAAACTTAGTTTGTTTCAAGTCCTAAAGATGTCACTTTTACTGAATTGGGGATTAATTTAGATACCTATTCAATTAAACAGCTTAATAACCAAATAAGCAACGAAATTAAGGTTTTAAGATTATAATATGGTAAAATTATACAATATAACGTAAACATAAAAAATGTTCCAATAACTTATATAAATGTAAGAATTAGAAATAATAAATATCTATTCACTTAATTGTTTATAGAATAGCATGTGCGTATTACATACTGAAAAGAATATTCTATGGTTCTCAAGTAAATAACTAATGTTGCCTCCTTTTTAACGATTTTCTGATTTAATCTCTGTCATTTTTTCTCGTAGTAAAATATAATACAAAAGTTGTAATTAAAAAATATATTATTAGAAAACTTTAAAACAATTTTAATTATTTATTTATGAATGTCTATTTAATTTATTTTAAAACTACGATTACCTTACGAGCATGTTTTTGCATGATGTAACTTGACATTAAAATCCTTTCCTAATATGTTACATATAAAACCGTCTCCATTACAATGAATTTAAAGGTAAAATGTATTTTAACTTACTATTAATATTTTTGACAACCATATCTAAAATATTGTATAAAATCTGACATCATTGTAGATATATAAATGACGTAAGCGATACATACAGTCATGTGTTTATTAAATCAGGTAAATTGATATTTATTATCAATTTTATGTTATAACAAAATACGCCTTAACAATCTATTAAATTATATCTATATATCGTACATATATAGAGAATTTTTACTATGAGAACCAATTCTAGGTTTGTTATAAGAAAAATGTTACACTAAAAAAAAAAACAAAGTAATATTTATTATTGAGTAAATACAATAACACTGGCACAATTTCAATCATCTATAATAGGACGCAGGTTCATCTCGGTCAACAGATGGCATTTGGATAGCAATCAATTATGTAATAGCAAAAACGATTATTCTCATTAAGTGACAGTGGGTTGGATGTAATTTTTAACGCAATACTATATTGACACACGGTCACTATCATCACGAATCGTAACCAGTTCTCTTATTGAAATGAATTCAGATTTTTCATACAATGCTTTCGTTGCTTTATTAATACCATTTCATAGGGGAGTTTCATAAAAGCAATGATTAAACATTTCTCAAACTTTGCGACTTATTTCTCTCACTATAATTCTAAATTCGTTACAGCAATAAGAAGAATTATTTTTTATCTTACTTATATTTAATATAGCTTTTATATTGATCCAACAGGTTGTTAAGGCAGTTATAGAGATTTCACAGTTAAGAGTTAAGAGCTTTTGCGATTTGATACGGGTGCGAAGAAAATAATATTACGAATTTTAATTACCAAAAATAAATACTTAATCTGATAAGAAATAATATTATTGAATAAATATTATTAAATATTATTTTTAAATCGTCCTAATATTTGTTCAGAGGAAAAATCAGAATTGAAGTAATATTTATTCTAAAGTATATTTTATAAGTAAAAATTATTGTTCAAATTAAAAATAGTTTAGGTACAGCTTAAATTCACAATATATACAATAAATTAATGTACAACGAGCAATATTGTATTTATTGCAACGCAATCCACTTTGTTGCTTTGTTATAACAAATCCTTTGTAGTATTCCGGTCTTAGCTGCAAAAATACTCGAATGCTAACACATAATTACATTTTACTAGAAGGCACGATCAGAATTGATTTATATACATTTTTTCAACCTCAAATCCATAGTCTTCAAAGTCTACCCGCTCGGTGTAGGCGATTGCGATTTTAAGCTTCTTTACAATATAAAAGTAATAAAATACAAGATTAAACTATAACAAGTTCTATAAATATTTATATTTTGCTATATCTTATTTATTATTTCAGATGAGGTTCTGTCTTTTCCTTAGTATTGTAATAATTTCTGCGTTTAGTGCTCCGACAGATGAATCTCAAGCAACGATTTTATCATACGAATATAATAACGATGGAAGTGGAAACTACAACTTCAGGTAAAACGTCTTTTTTTACAATTAGTAATAACTTACCCGCCGTAATTAAATTTAAATGCCTATTTTCATAGGTATTCAACATCTAATGGGATATATCGTCAAGAGACGGGAACACTAGTGAATGAGGGTTTGACGAATGAACATATTGAAGTGAGAGGTTCATATTCTTTTATACAGCCTGACGGTCGGTTGGAAACTGTCGAGTATACTGCTGATGAAAATGGTTTTAAATACTCAAAAAAACTACCAACAGAAATCAATGTAAGTAATATTTATGAGGTATTAAATACGATAAACGTAATTGAAGGCTTATTTTCTTTAACTATGACTAACATTAATTTTGCAATAATATATGAATTATTATTTTTGTTAGTTTTATTTAAAAAATCTAAAATCATCTTTTATATTGAAATCTCAAATCATCTTTTGCAAGAAAAAAACGATTGAAAAAGAATCACCACCATTAATTACGTGTGGAAAATATTTTGAAGTGCTATATTTTGTTGAATTCGGTTGATTTCTAATGTTTTGCAAAATAATTTGTACTCAACCTTAATGTTTATATATTTAATATTCACATAAAACAATCACATTTATAATATTTGTAAATCTTAAAGTGCATCTTTTTTACAGTTTTTGTATATATATATCAGAAAAACAAACTAATCAAAAGGGTTTTCAACCATATTTTCATTTGTTTTACAGGTGGCGCAAGCCCTTCCTTCTGCGGTAGTAGCAAGTTTGCTTGGAAAATAATTTTCAGTAAATATATTTTTAAAAGGTATTTTATTGGTTTTATAGATTTCAATTGAATTCAAGTTAGTTCTCCCATTATTTTATATGTTATGATTTAATTTCAGTTCAGTTATTTAATAAATCCCTTTTGATTCTGCAAAGCAAAATAAAATAGGACTAACTTCGTAAAAATTGTCTTTTAAACCTTCATTATTAAAAGAAATTTTACTGCCTTAAATAAATCATATAAGCCCTACCTGTTTTAAAATTATTCTAACTTTAGAACCAAATAAATTTTCTGAAAAAAATTGCTTCAAAAGTTGATAAACTTTTTACACTGATGAAAAGAAATTTATCAACATTACAATTCAATTAGGTTACATATTACAAGAATAAAGTATTATTAACAAACAAAACTTATTTATTTTTAAATTACTAAGAACTTCATATAAGATCTAACTTAGATAAATGAATTCAGCTGGAACTCATAGAAATTCTTTAGAAATTTAATAGTAAAGTGAAATATTGAAATTTTACATAAAATTAGGATTTCATATGATCACACAAAAAACGTATATAGTTCCTGAACAAAAATTATAATCTACATCTTTCTACATACCTACCCTTAAAAACAATTTTTCCTGTCTTTCCAATAGTTACTTAATAAATCTTTTTACCCAGTAGGTACATACCATAAGAAAGAGAATAAAGTTTCGCACTGCCATAAAGGTTTTATTTTTTCACTTAGCTTGTTTAAAATGTGAAATTAACATTTTGACACAAAAAACATCAAAAATATTATGTTACCTATTTAAAAACCTGAAACTTTATGTACTAAATAGTGTGAAATATTAGTTTCACATAATGAGAAAATCAGATTTGTTTATTTCTTCCCAAAATAATAAATTTTTAATAAAAAAACTATGTTGCACAAGTCAAGGTTTATACTTAAATTAAAACTAATAAATATACCAGAGAATTAAGGTTGATATAAAAAAGTAGACCTAAGTGAATATTAATTGTTAACCTTTCGTTATAAATTTAGTTTTGAAGTTATTAGCGCTTATATTAGCTAAAGTATAGCATCCATATAATCATTTCCCAGGGAAAGTGTTCGTTGTATTTGTCTACTATTAACCTTATATTACGATCTCCTTCTCCTTCTTAAATATAATTATTTGCAAAAAAAACACTTTCATGACATAATCAGTGGCATCTATTATAAAAGACTAAAGCTTCAATGACGTTATCCATAGCATTATACATAATTCTACATTCTACAGAATATGTTTACATTTACCCGTTTGTTACTTAGCATTTCCATTAATATTAAAGAAAAATCATTAGTCTTATTAGGTTTGTATTCATTGGACGATAGTCTATTTTAATAATGAGAATGCCTTGTGAATATTTTAACAAGAATAATTATTATTGACGTCGGGGGGAGACATACTTGATATTTAAAAAATTAAGTTATTATACATTGGATTAAAACAAAACATAAATAGAGGTCGAAATTAGAAAAAAGAGTTCCCATGACATGTGATAATAACTCCGCTCACACTAATTATAAGTTTTAAAAAGAGTGTGTTTTACTTAATTCAATATATACATGTATCCCTAACTACTTTTCTTCGCGTCTTTATACATTATTAATTTAAAATTAATTAAGTTTTTTTCTTTCAAATAGGCCTCTGAAATAGAATGTTAAAAGGTTACAATATTTTTTAGAACATTTTGACTGGAGAAAATAATGTTACTGACTAAATAATATGTGACATGGGCTCTTATTGGTTAAGAGATGGTATTTCGATGTCAATCAATCATGTTATACCAAAAGATTTCTTGTCCTAACTAACATTAGATTGGATGACATTCTCAATGTAACATGAAAACAATACGTGATTACTTACGCCACTAATCAAAACCACACCTCTTTTGTTTTTAACTTCCTACGAAATTACGAACTTAATTTTCTTAGTAATTGAATGATAAATTGCCTTTCCTTCCTGATTACATTACAATCTGTTAGTTTATTTTTAAAAAAATAATTTTTAGAACAATTATTTCGATGTCCTACGCTATTTCTAAAGCATTAACAAAACAAAAGGCCAATTAGCTTTGTAGTTGAATTAGTTAAAAATATACCCTCTATACCCTTTCATGACACATTTCGATTTACTTCTCTTTAGTTGATAAGTTTTTCTTATCACACAGTACAATATACAATATTTTCGGTAGTTATCGTAATTAACTTATATAACTGCGAATATCTTATTTTATAAGGGTTTAAATTTTATGGACTATAAAATATAAGCGAAGCAATATCTTTGCGCAATCACTTTGTTTTAATTAATAACATAATTAAAGATCTTAGTGACATGTTAATAATTAATTTATACGTTATTCATGAGTATGTAAAGGACATACATACATAGTGATATAAATTAAGACAGTCTTTAGATCTATTCTTTTAACAAACAAAAATGGCCATTGTTAATTTATTCAGTTTTTAAAGTTAAGACATTTTTAATTATCAATTTTGTAATTGATAAACTATGTATGTATAAGTGTTGCGTGTTTTTGCTGTTAGGTTCATGTTTCTTTAACATTTTTATCTTACCCTTTTAACTTTCCTTACACAATAATATTGTAATTAATAAATATAGGAATTTTCAATAATTTTTAATTAAAAAAAAACATAATTACATTTACGGCATTTATTAGAGAAAGTGATGACGTAAATATGTATTAGAACAAAAGTGAGTACTAAAAAAGATGTTTCAACACTTTTATAACATTTTAATTTCAATAAAATCTAAATACACAGTTCTATAAATTATTTTGGTATATACATTTGTCCGCACTCTCTTATTTTAGCCTAACATGCAAATCAGCAGATACATTAAGTGCTTATATGTAAAAGTGAACAATGTTAACAAAAGTACATTAATGTAATTTTTAAAAAACAAAACAGACTTATAAAAAACTATGTATACTTCATCATTTCTTGTGTATAATTTAAAAGATATAATTTTTAACAAAATTTATTTTCAAATGATCGAATAATTACATGCTTATATTTCTATATCTAGATCTCACGGTCAATTCTAGTCTATATAAATTGTAGAACATCAAATACATAGTTCTTTTCCATCTATGCGCTTCGTGTATAGGCGATTTAAATATCAAAGAGTTTATAAACATACGAGTAAAGGTACGCATACAAGATACAATAATAATGAACATAGTTAATTTTGTAAATGTATCTTTATATTTTTTGTAAATATTTCATTTAATTTTGTTGTAGATGCGCTTTTATCTTTTATTAAGTATAATAGTAATCACTGCGTATGGTGCTCCAACGGATGAATCTCGAGCAACGATCTTGACTTATGAATATAATAACGATGGAAGTGGAAAGTATAACTTCAGGTAAAAAGTTTGTTTTATAATTATTAGTAATAATTTACCTACTGTAATTAAATTTTAATACCTATATTCATAGATATTCTACATCTAATGGGATATCTCGTCAAGAGACGGGAACACTAGTGAATGAGGGTTTGACGAATGAACATATTGAAGTGAGAGGTTCATATTCTTATATACAGCCTGACGGTCGGTTGGAAACTGTAGAGTACACTGCTGATGAAAATGGTTTTAAATACTCAAAAGAACTTCCATTTCCAATAAATGTAAGTATTTTTTAAATCTTTTAGGTATTAAAAATGAAAACTTAAGCCGTAGTCTCAATATTAAGTTTTCACTATAACAGCTTTGTATAACCATAATGTAAAATAAGGATTGGTGTCAATTTGTTTTTGAATTATTAATATATTATTGTTACGCTTTGGGTTTTTACTAAAATCTTAGAGACAGCCTTCACCAATTAATTTTACATTGTGCAAATACTAGAACTTTTCTTGTAAAAGTTAAGCTACATTTTATTGTTTTTAAATAATTCATTCAGAAATAGAATTTATTTATTAAAATTCCATTTATTTCACAAAACCGTAATAGATAAAAATAGTTGTTCCTTAATGATATTAAATAAAATAGTAATTATGGAAAATAATAATGATGAAGATTGATATTTTGTTAAATAAAAATTAAATGCTCATCTTCAACTTCCCAGCCGCAGGTCGATCTTCACAATCTCTCCAAGTTGCACAATAATATATGCCACAACCTTAACCTTTACGTTTCCCATTCACTTTATACCATTAATTATGTAATATGTGTAATAGATTTTAATTGTTTTTTTTTATTCAATATTTAACTCTGTCTAAGAACACACTACTATAATTTGATGCAAATTTTTTTTATGTTTTTTAGGCAGCGCCAGGAGTTCCTCTTGCGGTGGTGGAAAGTCTACTTGGAAAATAGTTATAAGTGTACATATATTTTTATTTGTTTGTAATTGGAAGAAAAAGTAGTGTTTTTTTTAACAATAATATAATATTTTAAAATGTATCTCTTTCTATAATTTATTTTCAACATTGTGGAAGTGTCAATTTAATTTGGTTGCGATAAGTTACTTCTATGTATTTTGAGCTTTTTTATAAATATAGGACAGGATTTTTTTTAATATGTATTTAATTTTAAATCAAATGAATGAACTTAATTTTTATCTTTTTTGTGTAGTTATATAATACAGGATTTTGTATTGCATTTTTACGTAACGTGAAGTGTATCTTATCTTTGTTTTTAATAAAGAAAAATGTAGCTTGTGCATTGCTAGATTTTTTCGAGCAAGTGTCAAGATGAAAAAACTTTTAGATAAGTTACTATTTGTACATCTCGTTGAAAAAAACTCAAAAAACATTTATCCGACATAATTGAAAATGTAATATCATGTTATATGAAAAATAATATTTATAGATGAACACTCTACTTGAAATCAGATGGTTATTCTAAAAATTTTACCTTAGTTTATGATTATGTTAAAGCATTATTGAAATAAAATTCTCAGTTCCTTATAACTAAGGTAAACTTTATTCAGACAATTTGCTGTTGGCGTATTAACTCTAAACTATTTACAGCTCTTCTTAATTTTATTGAACTAACCTGGCATATTTTCCGTTTGACTCACAAAAATATATTATATAAAAAATGTCATTAAATGTGAGCAGTCGTGCTACAACTATTAATAATAAAAAAATACATTTACGTAATGTGTTACGGTGTCATTGACTTGATGGAGTCCTTGGCGTCGCATTATTTGTAAAGGAATGAAGTCTGGACTTGTCATTCTTGAAGAACTGGATATAAGGTGTGGACAGTTGGACTCATGACGCAGTTGACTTGGATACACAGCAGTGAAAATAATTTTAAGTAGAATGGTAAGTGAAACCAGGTTGTCGGGCGAATCTTTCATTCCGTCAAATGTTTATGTTATTATTTTATTTCCCCTTTAATGAAAATAATACTTGCAGATTCAGTCTGTTCATGTTTCAGACATAAAAAATAACGTTAAAACTGCTTGAAATTCACAACACTTTGTCTCTTATAATATGAATACCGTTTAGTAATAATCATTACATACGTATTTACTCAGGTCAAATGTGTATCCTTGTGCTTCTTGGCCGTTTTCACTGCAGCAGTTTCAAATTTATCCAAGGCAACCAGTATTCAGAAGCAAATAAAGAAAAACGTATATAACATTAATGAATCCGGCGCTTATAGTTTTGAGTAAGTTTCGATATGAAAATTAATTGTTTATATATAAGAAACAAATGAATGCGATATTAATAATATGTTAGATAGAATTTCAAATATTTGAAATCCAGTATATCACACCAGTCAAGGTCAAACTCAAAAATTATTCACGGTCAATTTCAATGACATAACTATAAAGTAGAAACTAGAAAGGCAGGTAAATTTTATTAAATTTATATTTTAATAATTTAAGATTTTAATAATATTGGATGCTACAAACAAAACAAGATCATAATAGTTGACCGTGAATAACATTTAAAGTTAGACCTTGATAGACTAGTTTGATGTAAAAAAAAAACTAATTTAAAATATTTCCAACTACGTCTATGATGTCCATGTCGAAATAATAATTTACAACACACTCGTGTTATTGACAATTTTTATGTATACCTTTTTATATCTATAGTTTTTATGTATACCTTTTTATATCTATAGTTTTGATATATTTTTTCAGATATGTTATATCTGATGGCACTTTTAGAAAGGAGGATGGAGGTCTGATTAATAACAAGGGAGCGCTTAATTTGGTGGTACGAGGAGAGTATGGATACATAGATCCTTCAGGGCATCGTCATTACATCAAATATATAGCAGATACAAACGGCTTCCAAGCTCTAAGCGATTACAACGATGTTAGGTTTAATGATAGGCGAATTGTGTAAATATATGTAATTAAATAGATATAAACCTACTTTTATTTAAATTATTTAATCCAAAACTTTTATTTATCTAAGAAACTCCATGGTGTAGAGTTTCTTAGGTGACGTAACTTAGATAACAAAGCATTGACTTCTAATAAAATTTTGTTTTAATAGTTAATTAAAAGGTAGCAATAATTGGACGTATTTAAAAAAAATAATAATGAAGAATATCTAAAATAAAAATATATTTACTTCAATTGATTTATTTATACCAATATTTTTTTATACAAAATCAGTCAATGAAAGCGAAAAGTGGTTGGTCAATACAAAATATCAAATCTATAATAATAACATTTTATTGCTTATTGGATTACACAATGCGTTGTGTTCATTATACATTTCGTTCTTACACGTAAGAAGTAAGGCGTTTAAAGACGTCATGTTGAAACCCCTAATTTTCCTTTTACCTTACATTGTGAGTCATGTTGATTAGTTATCTTCTTTAGAATGTCATTGGTTTTAATAGTAATACAGGGAAGTTATAATAATCTTTATTCTAAGGGTGTTAATAGTTTCAAACTTTTTATTCTTTAAATTATGTCTCTAATCTGTCATCATTACTAAAACGTCCATATTTTCTTATATTCTTAAGATGGCCCTTTTATGTGGACAAATTGACGCCGCGATTTACACTTAGTAAGTAAATTTACACCACCGTCCATTAAAGGAAATTTTGATATTATATGAAATTATAATTCAACATCTTATTAGCGAGGACGTGGAACTAAGACGGATATTTCCAAATGATTTCCCCCAGGACACAGTCAGAAAGAGTGGCTCTATGAAACCAGAAGTGAGTATTTTTATTCTTTTGAAAATAATATTATGTAAATCTTGTCTGTATAGAAATAAATAACTTATTTATTAGGTATTAAAGAATGCAGTAAAATCTTTAATACAAAAAAGTCTACTGTCTTATTGTCTCTAGTAAAAAAAAAAAATTCTTTAATTTACGGTAGAGAGTAGTATCTTTATTTAATTTTAATATGATATATTCATATATCATATATATACATCTTTGGAAGCTATTTAATCACGCTCTGTGATACATTTAGGGTCAGAGCATCTTAACATAACCAAACTAACAACTGTTGACCAGTTGTCCGCATAAGCGTGTATTGAAAAGATTTATATGAGATGTAAACCTATTCCGATTTATAGTATGGATATATTTTTATTAGTATTTATTTATATAAATGTATTTGGCTGAAACATATTTCTTTCAGCACTTGGGCCGTTATATGGAACTTAGCGATTATTTCAGAGATCCCAAGAAGCCATCAAATAGTCATTTTGAAGAATTGTCTTGTTACAGAGAGAATAACAGAAAGGTTTTAATGCATATTAATCTTGAATAGTCCTAATATTATAGCGATAATTAATAATAATAATTATTAAGGTTTGCAGGATAGACGTGGATAGGTACTCCCCTGAAGAGAACGAATACTATTTGACACAGAATTCTGCTAGTCATATAGATAGACGTCGGGTATATTGCTTCATGCTGCTATGTTTTACCGAAGCTGAATTAGACCGAGTGGTAGCATCATTCTGATTGAATTGATGAATATTAGATAAATTTTTAAATATAATTAATATCCTTAGTTCTTTTATTACTTACATTGAAAAGTAACAAACAATACATCCTCGTTGAATACTATTAAATAATTGTTGAGTTATGTATAATATTTATAAATAAGGTTGACACTAATAATTGCAAAATTAGTTGCAACGTTTCCCTTAAAGAATACAAAATTTTTACGAGGCAACTTTAAAGTACTTTGATTTAAATTACTTTTACTACAAGTCAAATTACATATTCTTTTCGATGGGATTAAATGCTAATCTTATTTTTTTTTTATTTTCAAATTATTCATCAAATTTTATTATTTTTTCCTAACCATTCATGTCACAATATATATTGTTTTAGTAATTATACCAAAATTTTTGGAGGAGTAACTCAACGTTACAAAAAGCTACTTTCTAATAATAAATTAACAACAATTTATAATTAATTCAAAAATTTAAGCCCATATCTAAAGCGTCGAGTGGTTATTTAAATGTTAGAAGAGAGATTTTATAATACAAGCTATTTTACGACAATAGTAAGCAATAGGTTTTATATTTAAAACTGTCAGTGTTATTTTTAGGATTTGGAATAAAATAACAAATCAAAAAGAGGTTCATGCAATGAATATTCATATAAATTGCTGCTCAAAAATCTGCTCAAAAATTTTCTTTTAAACTTAAATAATACCTATTCATTAATATTAGAAGCGCCATTCTGAAGGCTATAAATTAATTTGATATCATTATAACGTTTAATATGCTTGTAATGTCAATTAATCAGGCAAATGACAGTTATTTACAACGTTAAACCCATACCGGAATATTACAACCTTCAGCACATCTAATACGAATGAAGGCAAGCTACTATTTGTCAAGTTCAATAATTTTAAAACAGTTGCTGGAAATATAACACGCATATTATTTTATATCCTTAAGAAAATGTAGATAAGATCCAATTTAATCAAATTGATATATGGTCTATTCATTATTCATTTTTCAATGTACCTAAAAATTTTTATAAGAATTAATGTAGGTTATATAACATTAAAAAATAGAATAACTTTCGTTACTTAAGATCACTACTATTTGTTTTCTTTTAAGATAATATTTGATAAGATTGAATGATATAAGACTTTTTGAAATAAGTATTCTATGTACGTTAGTACATATGTTATAACACATTACATCAGGTATGTAACCATGAAAATGTAAATACATATCCCGATCCAAAAGTTCATGATAAAGATGTATGTAATATTTATTGATAGTGTCCACCCATACTTTCAAATATATCATTATTCAAGCGTATGCAAGAATTTAGACTTATAGGGTTTCCAGTGGAATAAACATATGTATTTTATGTTAAACATTACTCTCAATATAAACGTACATGGAAAAAAAGAAAATGGTGCTCTTAGATCTAGTGACCTTGGAAATATGAAAACCGTACTAAAATGTTCGAGATTTATTTGTGAACCTATCGTAATAGTTATCAAGATTGACCCAAAAAGGTTCTGTAAGGAAGGTGTCGGAGGTCAGGCGCACATCGGTTCAACAGACTGTGATGTAAAAAGACCGGTTTAGACGATTTATACCGCTATAACATATTTACTAATGCTATGAATATTTAGGCCCTTGATGACAAAATATCTTTTACCATACTCGAAATTTCGAAACAACAACCCTTGGTATTTTACTATGTGTGTATTTTACAATTTGCCTCTAGGCATTTTTAAATAAATCCCTATAAATTTTATTAAATTATAGGTTATTACAAGTATAATTAAGTTTTATTTAGGTTCGTGTTTAAGACAGTAAGATTCTACAAAGGAATTAATCTGAAGTTATCAAAATTTAATACTGCAATTACATGTCATAATTAAACTTTAAATGTACTGTGTCAGTATCTGAAATCCGTAAAATGATAAGTCATCATCTTCCCACGTTCTTAATACGCAAGTAACATTATTTACTAAAGACTCATCATAATCAAATTGAATATAAATTATGCGCAAAATGTAACCTTGACCTTTCAAAGATAGCCATAAGAATTCCGGTTTAAGGATCGAATACATAATTGCCTTTATTCAAAAATGCTAGATATAAAAAAATGTTAAGAGATGAACGTGAACTTTATGTGTCTCAATTACTGCTCAATAAACGTAAAAAAACCAGAGCGGAAATGTCATAAGAGACTGATGGCTGAGAGATTCAACTAAAAAGCATCAAAATTTACATATACAATTAAATTTATCCTGTGTATTATTATTATATAACTCATTATCAGAGCACTTCTCATAGGCCTTAAGTGCATTAAATATACCCGAACGGAATGACAAATAAATATCTTAAATTGATCGACGATCCAATAATCGACAATACAACAAATACAAAAACCTTAATAATCAAAACTTATGCCTCAAAAGTTTACACCATAAGTAATACAAAATTATTCATAGTTTTGTTTTGCTCCAATTTAAATTCATTAAGTTTATACTTCTATCATGCCGACCACTAATTAATCTACTCAAAATTATTCTTGTTATGAACATCTTCCGCGTTTAATCGGGGTCATCACGGTAAAAACGAGAAAGCATGTTAATCTTAGAGATGTAAAACAAATTTGAGAGTTAAACACAAAAGGACTGTTAGGTAATTGAAGTGACAGTGACAGAATATCTCGTATGGCATGATAGTTTACTGGACTAGGACAGTTAATAAATTACTTTTTGCAATGCCAATTAACATTGGCATTTATAATCCTATTATTACTTAATAAAAGACATAGGTCATGATACGTGTTTACAATTGCTGTGTGTATTCATATTACAATATTCCGACATCACTATACTCACTATGACAAACGTATTTTACTTTGCGCATAATACGAAGCACCGCAACGGGCCAAGCGTTGTGTTGCAACTTAGTAATAGAAGAAATACCTACATATATAAGAGGGTCGCTTGGATACGTAATCATCCCAGAAACAAAGTTTGCACTACAGCAGACGGACGAAGTTTAAATAAAAAAATAAAAATGAAATTGGTTAGTAGGAAAAAAAAATAACAGGTTAAGAGAAATTATTGACTCTAATATACACAACCATCTTTTTACAGTTTTTTATCTTAACGCTGGTTGCTGTTGCTTCCGCGGCTCCTCAAAATCCACAGGATGTTCAGATCCTGCGATATGATTCTGATAATTCTGGATTAGGTTCATACAGTTTTGCGTAAGTTTGAAATTATAAGACTATTGAAATTATTGAAATTATTAGTTATAAATCGGTAATATTTAATAACAGCTGGGAGCTATCTGATGGAAGCAAGCATGAAGAACAAGGACAATTAAAGAACCAAGGAACTGAAGCCGAGGCTTTGAGTGTGCAAGGACAGTATGCGTGGGTCGGCCCTGATGGTGTTACATATACCGTCACTTATTTGGCTGACGAAAATGGCTACCAACCCCAGCTCCAACAGAGTCAAGGCGGATCAATACCATCAGCAGTCATAGAATCTTTCCTCGGCTAAAATTAGATTGATACATTAGGTATATGTAGAAAAATACTCATTAACAGTATATAATATTTATGTGCTGTGTATAAGTTTAACATTAATATAAGATTTACATAAAGATTTTTGTTTATTTTAAATTGCCCTCGAACTTTTATAAGCAAAGTTACTTTGCTAACGAAACATCATTAAAAAACACTTGTCAATAATTTTAAAGTTTTGCTTTTATTTATAATTAATTCATAAGAGAGAAAAAAAAACAAAATAAATATTATTTTTACTCTTCAGTTCTTAGACGCGGCGTTGTTTATTTGATTTCATAACTTGATACTAGGAGTCGGGGAAAGACAGATAATGAAACTAACAATTACAATATTTAACATAATGTGATAGTTCTTTCAAGTAATTTACAAATTTTATGAAGATTACATATAATACATAGTATTCTCATCATAACTTTGAAGATCTATGAATGAACCACGTATACTTATAATGGTACCGATCACATCTATTATAAGTTAACCTAAAACAAATCAACAATAATTCATTAATACATATTTGATTTTACGTCCTTAAGTCTGAAACTCTTTATTATCGAAATAAATGTTTTAAAATGTGGTAAGGTGATTTTTTTTATTATTTACAATGAGTTATGCTTTATATTTGTCCTTTTTTCTGTTCTTTTATTATTATTTTTTTGTTTTGTTATTATTTTTTAATTCATTATACCTTTTAAAGCTAGTTATGATAACGATAACAATCAATTATTATCTGCGTTTAAAAAAATATTGAACAAGTTTAAACAAATAAACTAACGGCTTTATTGAATATATTATTAGACCAGAGTTAGTTCAACTATTTCACCAGTATTATGTTAAAATTATCTGCTTATATATTTGAAGCGTTATAAAAAACCCATCAGTTTTTCTTACCTTCCCTTTTTAAAATTAAAACAAACATGTTAAGCACTGTCTTTTAAACATAAGTCTTAATATATTGCTACTTTCTCTTTTTTAGAATTCTGTTGCTAAAGATGAATGAACTGTGATATGATTATATAGTTGGTTAATTTTCACAGGTTATTTCAGTTGCCATTATAATAAGGATTGCTATACAAACCTAAGAGTAAATGTTTAAGGATATTCAAGAAGACAAATACACTCTACACACAAGAAAACAAACATATTTTTTTTTATTACGGATAATGGTAAGGAACCCTTCGTGTACATCCGACTCTCACTTACCTGGTTTTTTAGTCCATTTTGCGGTATGTATTTTAACTAATCCTCACATAGAATCAGATTTACATGTCATGTCCCATTGATATTAATTCATATTGAAATCTTTTCATTGAGATTTTATGAAGCTTTTCAAATAAGTTAACCCCATCATAAATTAAAAGATAAACTAATCTCCTGTACAGATAATATGGTTATGAAAAAAATACTTATTACGAAACCGAACAATGAAACTGTTCAAAGAAGCCTAGTCAGTCGTATTCTGTTGACATCTAATAACTATCGCTTATACAAAACCATGTAAGAAAACTTAAATTAATAAATGTAAACCTTTGTATTAAATTTACATAAATGTTATTAAAAAACTCAACAACTTATAATCCTATAGTTACTTCCCCATTATTAATATTTTTAGGATACCATGAAGAACCTTTAGCTTGAATTTCGCTTGTATCCATGAAGATTTTATTTATATTTATCATTATATTTCATGACAATAAAATATTTTGCAGTATACGTTGCTGATAACCATGATAACATGCCAAAAACTGCCTAGGTTCATGTTTATTACAGCTAACAAAATCGACAAATAAGTGATACATTTATTGAAAACAAAACTTTAACTCAGAATACATATTTTTTTATATTTATATTTTACTAATAATAAAGATCCTATAGAATTTGCATGGTACATACTCAACCAATAAATATACTTAGCTATTTACAAAGACGTTTGTTAATTTTATGATCGTTATTCATTTACTTCACTACCCAATATAATGTAAACAATTTATAAAAAAAATATTACAATGACAAATATATATATGTACATATAAAATTTACTAGAGACGAAAAAGTTCAGCAGAAGATCGACTGCATTTTTTTTGCACTGTTTATTGTAATATTTTCAATTTAATTTATTTCCGTTTCTAGAATATTCCATCTCCTCTTTTATTATAATTTACAACAAAAATTATTTAAAATACAAAAACTATTAAACTATATTGTTAATGTTTGTTGCCTAATAACTTTCGAAGTACGTATGCGGCAAATGAACGTTATTTCGTTCATTATGATAGCTTAAAGTCACATTTTTGCCAATTTCAGACTGATAGATGAGCTTCAATATCTATCATAGATGCACGTAAGGGTCTCCTCATTTTACAAGAGCTTCTCTAACCTACATATGTAGTTATTATATAATTTCACTAACAAGCAGTAAATGAAACTGTTTGAAACTAAAAAAAAAGACTACAAAAAACATCATATGAACACAGGAACTAAAAAGTAAACCATAAAGCCAATTTACATACTTCATAATAAATATAAAATATCTGTACAAAAATCGACTAAACAACTATTATATAGATAAATGAACACTATTTTTATTTACTTTCCAATAATCAAATTAAATATCTAAATGAATATACATAATTTCTTTACATCTAATCACCTTTTAATGTCAGGGCCTTCTAGAGTTTAAGTAACTTAAAACTAAAATAAAAAAATGGAATATTAAATTAAAACGACCTAAAAGTAATTGAAAGCTTTTTTTTAACGTTGTGAAAGGTTTCATACCTACCCATCCGTCTAGGGGAGACAGAGGTAGTTATGTGGAATTCACGGGCTAGAAAGGCCCATGCTACCCACTAAAACACCAGCAGTCACTCTCACTTGCCGAGTGGTCACTCCAAGTGACTAGGAGCGTCCCCCCGCCTGCCGGACTTGCTTAATCGAGAGAGGAATAACCCCTTACCCCTCTTACCCAAATCTACATGGCCAGTCTCCCACTACACACCGTCGAGTGCAAAACGTCCGACGGTAGACAGAGCGGCAACCGGTCATCAAGCGACCCAGACCTCCAAAGAAGATCGAGTTTCTAATACTCCCTCCCCCAAGACAGCCCCGAACGGCCACCTAGCTAGCCATTCGCGACCATCCGTATCCCGAAGCCGCTCAAACAAAGCACGCCGCAACACTAAACTCCGAGTGAGCACCTCAGGCCATTTACCTCCCTCTCCTACCCCCAACTGACAGCCACGGAAACCACTCGGAGAGTTTAGATACCTGAGGTTGGCCTATGAACTGTCCCCAGTTTTCGAGCTCACCTGCTGACCTGTAGTGACTTGGGGATGACAGGCGTTGCTACACCGCCAGTGGCCGGAGACCACCAGACAACGCACAGGGTTGAATGTGGCAAAGCGGTGGACGACCGACCTAACCCGGGGAACTGCCCTCCGTATGTCAGCCCAGGTTGGTCCGCCGAGTCTTGTCCAACCCTCATCTCAGAGCTGTGCGGCCCCAGGCCGAGCTAAGATCCCACAAGGAGGTCAAGGTCCTCCCCCCTCCCGTCACTGACTGCACAGAATACCCGGTAGGCAATGGGGTCGTACACCTATTCTCTATAAAGTTATATACTTTATTTATTCAACACATAAAGAGTAGTTAGAACAAAATCAAATTAAATTTACTTTATTGTTAACATAAGTAAGAACACAAAATATACGATCGAATATTCTTTAGCAAAATAATGATATAGCATTATAATAACGTCTTGTTGGACTGCTGTCAGATTTAAAATTAAAAAAGTACGTAAACAAATAAGCACATTTTATAAAACAGACAGCAATATTAAGTAAATAATGACTGACATTAACCTGCAATTATTCTCTTTACTAAAAATATTACCCATATATGTATGTGTAAACCTAAGGTGCCGATTAGATGTTAAGGTAATAAGATATTAAGAAATAGATAAAGATTATTATTAAACATTAATATATTATGTATATGTAGTACCTATTTAGTTACGTTTTAAATTATATAGATTATTTTAAAGTAAATGATAATACTGATCGTTTGTCTAAATGAATTGTAGAAACAATTTATTATTTAACATTTATTATTACTAGACAGGTTAGATTAGGAAATAGTATTTAAGTTTTTTTAGTAGCCTTTTTACTTAAAAGGAATTTTTATTCGGTGAAACTAATGCATTCAAACATGTGAAGCAGAATTTGTAATAGGTGACTTTAAAATGACCGTTTACATTTATAAACGTTTTTTTTTTTAATGAAAATATAGGAAACCTTGATGTGTTCTTAGGTATACCTTTCTAAAATGTTTAATCAGAAATAATTATTTTCTTGTAGATGTTGTAAGTTTTAATTTTCAGATCATAGCAGAAAAAAATTCTGTCATAATCTAAACGTATGATGGAGTCGCAAAGTACTTGTACTTGCAAAACGTTGATGAACTTATATAGAATAAATTATAAAGATTACACAAGTATATGTATATAAATGAAGCTCGAACGTGTTCAAGTTACTCTTATCATGCAATTTGCCAACGGACTAACAAAAAAAAACTATTCTTCTAAGATTTTTTTCCTTTGTTTGTTTTATTTGGAAACAGATTCTTTTAACTCTGTCATTTAAATTGTGAATTCTCCAAATTGAAACCAACCAGTTCACCTTGAACTTATAATAAGATTAACATATTTGGCAGTTATTTTGTTAGTTTTGCAGTCTCATCTGTTATAAATAAAGCATCATCATAGAAACAACGATTTACTAGGTATTAACTTGTCGTCGATAACACACATCTTTAAATATGAAGCTGGTTAGTATTTATTTAAAATAATGTTTGAAAATCAGTGCAAGTGAAAGTGAAATGAAACTATGATCAGTTGGACATTATGTGATATACATTCTTCATGTGCCTATTATGTTTTGTTATTTACTAATAGTTTTTTGCTTTTTAGATAGTGCTCGTATGTTTAGTCGCTGCGGTAGCAGCAGCACCGCCTGCTAGAGTTAACTATGATAACAATAATGTACAAATTCTTTCCTACGAAAACGATAATATTGGTTTAAATAGATACAAATATGGGTAAGTAATAAAACTTTTGTAGTATTTTGTTTAAGAAGAATCACTGTCCTTCCCTATATTGTTACAAATGGGAAAGTTTCTATTATATCTGATTATGTATTTCTTTGAAACTTAATTAAAAGAAAATTTATAAAATAAGAAAAGGAAAGGAAAAGGTGTTTGAACTTAGCTTTAGCATTAATAAAATATGTATATCAAATTTGTCCCATAAATCTTTGTAAAAGAGAATCAGTATAAGAAAAGTGTAAAACATTTTTTCTTAAATAATGCTCTGAATACTTCTGCATATTTTTGAATAGGATTAGGTTTTAAATATGACAAAATATCATATATTCAAATTATTAGTTTACATTATTCAAAAGAACTTAAATTAAATCAGTACCAAAAATCGTTATTTCGTTTTATAATTTAAAAAAAAATATCTATAAATAAACGTCATAACTATTTTTGTTTATTATTATTATTTTATAACTGAGTTTATATTATTGTCACTGGAATGTGAATATATTCTTATATTAAAATTACTGCAAAATAAGCAATTGTAAACATTTGTAAAAAAATATAGAAAATTATAGTATTTATTGAAGGCACATTTTTAAGAGAAATTACAATAAATTTTCGTCCCATTTATACTACCTCTATTTCAGCAGTATTTGTATTTTATATCTTATAATAATTTATCTAAATTTACAGCTTCTCACAGTCAGATGGAACAAAACAGGAACAACAGGGTGAATTTAGAAGCGACGGTGTCTATGTCGTAAAAGGTTTCTATTCGTGGGTCGGTCCCAACGGGTATCTGTATACCGTTAGATACATTTCTGATGACAATGGCTATCAACCAGAAATGGAAGAGGCACCCGGTTATGATGCTGGTCTCATAGCTTCCGCTCTCGGTTAAATTCCACAAAACTGAAATTCTTGAACACTGGAACGATTAAAATGTTAATACCTATTTGATTGTTTTCTTGCTTGTCGGAATATCTCACTGTGTTTTTTTATTTCTTAAATTAGAAGAAGTATAATGATATTATTATAACTATTTAATTTTTATAAAAAAATAAAAGGCTTTAATAGAAGATTTAGTATAATCTTACAATTTTTACACAACGTTTTTCTGACTAAAAGTTCTTATAAGCATATTTTTTTAAATCTTGATAGTTGCATACTATTACTGATATTTTTTTATGTTAATTTATTTCTCATCTTTAATTGAAAGAAATAAAAGTAAGAAAATGTAAATATAAAATAAAGATAAATTGGAAAGCCTTTTATCTTTAGCCTTTAGCCTTTTATCTTTTAAGCCTTTATCTAATGTTTCGTTTGTTTCGTCTAAGAATACGGTTTATTTTTATTATTTCTCTGTCTTGGATTTTCATATGCTTTTTTTAAGATTATTTATACTTTTAAATATATTAATTGATAGGTTTATAAATTATTTCAACTCCCACAATTATGTTTAAAACACAACATTTTATTTACACAAATTTAAAATTATAATTCCTTTCTCACAAGTTTTCCAATAAAATGTGCAAGTTTTTGAATAAAACATTACAAAGATAGACATATTTTAGACTAAAAAAAAACATAATATTGAGAATATTATTTCATGAAGCCATAAAAGTGACATTGACATTCAAATGTACTTCAAAAACCAAGTGTTATATGTATAAAAATTATACCCATCGATTTATTAAAGTATTATTTTAATCAATGTTGTTTATGACGAAAGTGGATAACCAGAAAAAAGAACTTGTATATGGAATTTCCTTCTGACATTCTCAACTAATAACTCAAAGTGTTGTGTAAAATAGTATATTCTTATTTATCATATAATATTATAACATATGCTATAAAACGTACATAAATTAGACGAGTCGCATGGATATCTAATATAGAACTAAATAACTATAAGAAAAAAACAATTATAACTAGTACACCAAACATGAATCTGTTAGCCTATTGCAATTTCTTTTTATTTTATATACTTCTGATTTAACAAATTTGTATTAATAGATTTTACTTAACGGGGAACTTTTTGACTGCAAATAGTTGCTCATGATAAAGGTTAAAGGGTCGTTATTAGAAAACCGGCTGGTGTTTTTCCTCATGCCCCAAATATCATCGGTACCATTTAGGTGAAATATTTTATAACACATGATTATCATAAATAATTAATTAATCAAACGTATTGGTTGCTAAGTTTTAAGATAAATTTTTGAAACATCGTCTTAAAATATACATAAAAATATTATTCGAATATGTGTCTAAAATGCGATACTATCATTTAGTATTTGTAGTTTTTCTTAACTAGATTATAGTTTATTACAATTTTTGTTACCCGTACTTTTCATTTTTCGATCTTTTTCGATTTTTCGAATTAAATATCTAAAATATAAAAAAGTGAAACTTTTATTTATATCGAGGATGAAGCTTTTTCTTACAGATATTTAATTGAACATTTTACACTCAATATTAGGAAAAGAATTAAGAGAACTTACTCGATCACAAATATGTATATTAATATATGTATATAATAAAACTATGATTCAGATAATAGTCATTCAAAAGGAGAACACAAAATTTATTCAAATAACTTATCAAAACAGGTAATGCTACGGAGCGCTTGCACTAATGAGGCAGAATACCTAGTTTTTATAACAATGAATGCTGATGTGATCTCCTTATTATTTAAATGCCTACTATGCTGAATGTTTTTTTTATTTTATAACCCACTAGACCAACCAGACTAGCCGTAATGTGAAACACAATATCTTAACCCTAAAATTTTTAGGCGATTTCATACAAATTTAACCTACAAAAATGTTAAGAATGAACATTGGTTTTTATTCCTTTATACTCTCACTCCACTATCAATATGCATAATAAAAAAAAAGTATAAATTTTTTTTGTGTATCATATGACTCACTTGTTTTGAATTCTCCAAAAAAACATTAAGATAGGGCTTAAATACTATAAAATTTATCTATTTATGACAGCAAAATTCATTATGAATTAACTCACAAAACATATATTCAGGTGAACACTAATAAAAAAAATATTTACAAAGAAATATTGAATATTATTTTTAATAGCAAGTTCAAAATAAGATTGTGCAAACAAACAAATTAATTTGGCTTTTAAACGTTCTTTTGCAAGAGTATATTCATCAGATGTAATTCGTTTAATGTTTTCTATATAACGATATATAGATTTATTGGATTTCACGCCTAATTTCTATAAAATTAGTATTATAATTTATAGCAATTGATCATTTTTAAGTTAACTTCTTTACACAAGTGTAAATGAAAATACGTTTTGTTTTTATAAACACCACCAAAATTGAGAGTGAAATTATTATGACATTATATAAAGGATATGGGAACCAGTTTTGACATCTAAATCAACGTTTAATATCATAAATCGTATATATGTAGAACATCTTTCCAGAATCAAATAAAATCAAGTTGAACGAGTTTAATAAATTTGTGATTTGACATTTTTTAATTAATCCTTTAACCTTATTATTTCCTCTGCTTCAAGTATAAATAGGTACATCAATTCCATTGATGTGTTCTATTTTTTATTGGAATCAACACCGCAAGGATCACCAGCAATATGAAATTTGTAAGTGCACTTGCATTTAATGTACTTTTTTTAATTTCCAAATTATATAAATAGATATATTTATAACATAAATCTTAGTCAGACTATATAAAAATACTAATGTGTTTCAGTTTATTGCTCTCTGCTTGCTTGCCGTGGCTGCAGCTGCCCCTCCTTACGATAACATACAAGTAGTCAAATACGACAATGACAACATCGGAATAGGAAACTACAGATTTTTGTAAGTTTATTCCCATATAGTAAAATAAGTTGTTTCCTAAACAAATTATACCTATGTACCAGATTATTTTAGGACGTATAACTGATGTTAATATTTGTGACAAACGGATCTAAGGATTGATAAAATGCCATTAGTTTTTTATATGATTCAAAGTCACTCTTATGAGTAAAAGCACTCTTATCTAGCAGTAAGGCCTTAAAAAAAATGTTTTTTATTTTGTATATTTTTGTGAACCATCTCAAACATTGTGAATTAATTAATTAATTATTACGTTTTAAGATTGGAACAATCTGATGGTTCTAAGCAAGAACAATATGGTGAGCTTAAAAACGAAGGTCAAGTTGGTCAAGCCGTGCAAGTCAGAGGATCTTATTCATGGATAGCTCCCGATGGATACAAGTACACCGTTAACTATGTTGCTGATGAAAACGGGTACAGATCGACAATTGACAAAGAAGAACGCCAATATAGATTAAGTAGTCAATGAGTACGTTGTAGTTAAATTAATTATGTTGCTACTTCACTGCCGTTAAAACTTTATAAAAAGAAAACAATTAATTGATTTTGTGGATAGAACACAAAATTTATTATTTATTTTCTTCCCTTAATAAAGTTGAAGTTATTATAAATGAATTTTATTCTTCAAAAATTTTCTACTTCTAAAGAAAAAACATGTTTATTTTAAAACTTCTCTCGTTCCCAATACTTTAAAAAATTGCTTTACACAAAACTGTCATTACAACTTTGAAGCTTTACTGTCACAAATATTGTATCAAAGAATATTATTTAATGATAAAAATACTGTATTGAAAAAGTGTACAAGTTTTAAGAACGAAAATACATACATCTAACATAATCCAAGCACTTGCTTTTACTTTTATTATTACTTAATGGAATTATAAAGTAGTTACATTAGCTAAAACTATATTATTATATTAAACGGAATAAATTATATAGTTAACACTTGTAGATTAGTATACAATATACATATATAAATATCTGAAGTAGTAGAGCCTAGATGTGGTCAAAATACTACAGCCTGAACATGGGCTGGCTCGGTGGGGAAGTACCACCCTATGACAGAAGATCGGCGTGAAGTAGCCTTTAGTGGCTGCGTTTAGTTCGATGAGTGAGAGTGCCGGTTACCTATAAACTTTTAGCATCATTTCCTACCCTCCCCTTTTTCCTCCCTTTCCCAGTTTTTCCTCACCCTCTTCGCTACTCAAGGAGGGCGACACATGATGTCCATGGGCAACAATAGTACCTCCACCAGTGGGGCGTCTGTTCGGTTACTCCCTTTACCACGGCAAAAAAATAAGGCTTTTTCAAATTATTTAATATTATGCATTCTGACAACTTTCTAACAAAAATGTTGATTATTTCCAACATATATAAAATTTTTGAGAGCATAAACAAACCTAGAATTCTAAAACAAGAATGGTGCCTAAGACAGTTCAATTATAAGCATACCCAACATTAAAAATAATTGATCCTATAAACGTTGTCATAATGTGTATTCTTGTTACTAAACATTATAATGGTAACAAAAATCCACTAAAATAACCCTGTCAGTTACTTCTAAATTTACCGTTATAAACTTGAATAAATATGTCCTTTTAACTGTCAATAATTCCAATATTAAAAAGAAAAAATCTTTTTTTAGCATTTTATTTAATTTATTACGATCGCAGTGGTTTTTTTCATAATCTATAAATTAATAATTATTAATTGTGACCGAACACAGAGTTTTTTCTAAGATTTTTACACATTTTACATCCCCACAAAATTGTATAAAAAGATCAGCATACAATTACTTTTTAAAGAAATTAATATATATATCGGATTTATCACACATTCGTTGTTTTTAGAGAGATAGACGCCAGCCTCGCTGACGTCACTTATGTCACTTCTTCTAGAGCGTTCCATGATATTTTAAAATGAAACTTCAATTGTTCTTAACACCTGTATTTACCCTGTATTTCTCGAAGGTTCTTTATAATCACATATTTCAATGATACGCACTCACTAAACTCTGAACTCTGCCGTCGTGCTTCCAGACGTCATATTTATACCAAGATTTAAACATAGTTCTATTCTTCTTTTAAACAGTCTTTGATTTCGTTTTACTTTTAACAATAATCATGAATACTTATGAGTTTTAATAAGAATTGATGACAGCCTCAAATTATTTTCACGTCGCATCTGTCATTAAAGCTGATAGCGCCGATATATAGCATCTTGAATTAAAAACTTTTCAAATAGGGCTAACAGATAAGTCGTATATTAAATATGTAAACTTAAAAAATATATCGCTGTAAAACATCATTCAAAATGATTTTTATACTTTGTAAGAGTTCTTAGTTCGTATGATAAAAGACTCACCAAATGGCTGAAAATATGAAGTATCTCAAACATATGAAATCTTAATTCTTTAAGAGAGACGAAACTTCTCAGCATTCCATGGATTCACCATGCGGGTGCCGGGTCCATCGCGTTGCAGGGAGAGGAGCTTCAACAGTGCCTGGGACTTGCGACCCATTAAAACATAAATGTACGAATTAAATTCAGTAATTTAATTCGTATAACAGATATTAGTATATATGATGGACAAATTTTTATTTAGCGAAAAGAAAAAAAATTTAAATATAAGGTTAATTTTATTCATATGTCACATAAAATATATGTGTCTAAATTTATAAGTCTACGCATATATTTTTGTTATGAAGATATTTGATATCATAACAGATTATAATGATTATTATTATTCTAGGTGTGTCACCTACAAATTATACATTAAAACCAACAGACAATAACTTTGATAAAGCAAAAAGAGAGGTATTTAGAAAATCAGCGTTATATAAAGAGGACCAGAAATATATTATAAATATATGTATTATTATTACAGACAGTCCCAAAGTATATCTTATATCTTAATAAATATCAATAAGAGAAACTCAAAATAAGGGAAACATGTACAAAAATTGCAGTGTATGTACACGTGTACATGTATATAATATTATTTTGCTTAAAGTAATTTATTGACTAATTTGGTATACCCCTCACCTACTTGATGTATCATATTATATTCTATAGGACATTACTATAAGTATTTACATTTCAAATCACATCTTACTTGATATTTTGATTACATACTTATTATTATTAAACATATTTATTTCTTGTCGGTGACTGAGGTTAAAAGAAGGATCCTAATTTTATGGTTTATTCAAACAATATTCTTATAATTTATTTCTATTAACTATATGCATTATATCATCATCGACTAAAAAGTTTTAAGAAATTTTCAATAATCTTTCTAAACTATCTTGCTGAAATAGCACACACACGCACACATTGATTTCGAAATTATTTTTGGCTGATAATTTTATACGCACATGCAGTTTAAAAACATTAAAAGTCAAAGCTCTCTATATATTATGATTTATTTTACGAGCATTGTCAAGGGTGTTTATGAACACAACATTTTCAAAGAGTAATAGTCAATGATTTAAAGAAAAATAGATACAGTTTTATAACATTTTATTAAATATCACGTTAAATTATTAAAAAATCATAAAGAATATGAAAATATTTAACATTTAATAATATAAATGGTTATAAATTACTCAACTAACACGAGTTAATATTTTTCAACCACAGTTTTTTATCAATTTTACTCTGTAGCTGCGTTTTCGAGCCAAAATACTGATTCACAGTTAATAACCATCAAGCAAACTATGCTTATTAACTTTTCAAATATGTAAATTGAAGTAATTGTACAAGAAACTCATCATGTCCTCAGACACGCTAACCTTCAAAATGAAATAGTGGTCAGCATCACAAAGTATTGTTACTAGTATTTATACCTTATAATATGTGTGTGGCAATACAATATTACAATGAGTATAAAACATGCGTGAAGTCAAATCAAGTAATCATACCTCAAGTGAAGACGGTATTGGAAACTAGCAATTTTACTTTATCATGAAACTGGTTAGTAGAAACAAACACTATAAATAGCTTGAAATTAATAATTTATCAAACGCTTATAGGATAGCCATCTTTGGTATCTGAGATGTGGTTAAAGTATGTGTAAGGTTTTTAGTTAACACTATATATCGCTAATGGGAATTATCTTCCTTTATAGTATTTTAGTATTCAATTGCTATTGTATGGATTTGCCATGATTTTGTAGTCTTGCGAAGATTTACGTATAAAAACTCATTCTACCCTCAGTGTCTAAAGCAATAATCTATTTGGGTGCAAAAAGAGTCGTCTTTACATAACAGTATTTTCGGTGTATAAAAGGTGTGAACAATTTGTTTTCAGTTTTTGGTTCTTGCTTGTGTAGCTTTAGCTACAGCAGCCCCACAACAACTCAGTCGATCAGAGCCTGATGGTAAAAATGTAGAAATATTACGATATGACAACGAAAACGATGGACTTGGCTCCTATAAATTTGGGTGAGTGTTATATATACAATTCAGAAATATAAAATGATTACTTCTAATATTTTTCCATTTATTTTTATTCTGACTATATTAAGACACTTATCAAACTGTCAGAAAAACTAACTTCATTGACATAATTATGCTCTTTTTTCGAAATAGTTTACAATATGCTGTATTCATGTACAATTATATAAGAAGGTCTTATCTTAAAAAAGGATTAGCGTTGATAATTATTTAGGAATATTTTTCCAGTTTTGAATTAAGCGATCAAACTAAGCGAGAAGAAGAGGGGGAACTGAAAAATGCTGGTAGCGAAAATGAGTCTATTGCTGTCAAGGGTTCATATAGCTGGGTTGATAAGGACGGACAAGTGTACACAGTCAACTATGTGGCTGACGAAAACGGATTTCAACCAACCATTGAGCAATCAAACGGAGGCGCCATACCACCAGCTGTTATCGCGGCTTTTTCTGGATAAAATACCACAATAAATGACAAAAATACACGTTTTAAAATTGCATTATCTTTTTTTAAGTCTTTTAGAAATATATTCTTGAAAAGAGTATTTACTAAGGATACAAAAGTCAAAATCATATGAAATAGATGACAGATATTAATCTGTCATCATATATTTTATATAAATAATATGCCTAACTCACATACTTGGTTTTTATAAGTGCTGTCTAAACTTTAATTTTACTTACATTGTAACTACATATATGTTGAAATTAAATGCTAAGTGTACGGCATCTTTACTATAATAATAGAGTTCACGACAAAATATGAGCAACATACTTGGTGGGTGATTATTGAGAACTAATGAAATTTGATTAATTGGGCACATTAAAATGGGAAAGAAATCATTATTTTGTAATAATAATACTGGAGAAATAGTTTTGTCAGCAATTAAAAAGTTGATGAAAAACACAGGATGGACTGCTCGAACAATAATTAAATTTATCAAACTGGAATATCGTGTACGTGATCCGAAGATTAGCCGTAAAGTATCAAGGTATTTTGTTTTGTAATGACATGGAGGATTATAATTATTTTTTACAAAGTTCAAGAATAAGCTTATTTATTTCTATACAATTCTTTTCAGAAGTAATTGAGGTTTTAAATAAATATAAATATGCTTAAAACGTATATGTTAGATAAGTTATGTATGTATAAGCCCTCTTGAGATATTTGAAAAGTTTTTTTATCTACAAATAGCCTTTTTTTCCTTATGCTCTTGAAAGTTAACAGCGATCAGACGACTTTTTATGCTTTTTCAATGAATATGTGTTTTCGTGTTAACGGATTTTAGGATGCATGCCTTTCAATTTTCTGAAAATTGTTTGACACTTTTTTATAGTACATTTCTTTTTCTTTTTGAACTCATTACTCAATATTTTTATTATATAGAGCATTAAAACGTGGAGTTAAGTTGGGACTGCTTCAAATGGAACGCGGGAGATACCGATTGAATGACATGTGCCGGCTCACACATCCTGTTGGTGCTCGGGAAATACGTTTACGTCAGGGGCCAAAACTACGAACATTACGAGTACGGAGCCGCTCACCTACTCCCTCTTACAACTAATTTTTGTTTTGTTTTTGAAGTAATGAGAATGTTTAAAATTGTGCAATGTGTTTAAATTGCAACTTTACAAACAATTAAACAACTTGTAATTGCTTTAGTATAATGACATTTACAAACCTGTTCTTAAAACCCATGAAAGATCGAGTTAATATTAATTTCTATTTTATTTATTCAATATTATACGCCATACTATTGCAACCCAACAGTGTCGGAACCAAAAACGTAGGTTATACATTGAACATGAGCTTGTTTATGCTACCAGTCCCATATAATGCGTTTTATTATTTCAGGTTAACTATTTATGTACATTGATAGATTTGTGTTACTAAAGTTATGGGTAATAAGGGAAAATCGGTTTAAAAACGGAAAAATGGATTTTAATCCCAATATTATGATTTTATAACAATTTCTCTATTACTATTCATCGAATCGGTAATTCTTTCCGTAATAATAAAATAACAGTGTCTCTTTTGCTTAAAAGTAATTTCGGTATTAAAACGTGAACTAAGTCTTAAGTAAACAATTTGTTTTAGTCTAAAACATCGTACTAAATAGGAAAAAACTTAGTTATATTCGGAAGTAGATGAAGGAGTAAGCACAACACCTTATCTCTGGATTTCTTCAATTTTTTTTTTAGTTCAATTATAATAGCTGCTTCTTTTATCCCTTATTCAACAATAATGTTAGCACATAGAAATTAAAAGTAATATAATTTAAATATAACGCTATTTTTAAACATTTTAATACTATAACTGTGTTCTTTTTAACACACTTTTTTCTAAATTTTGATGATAGAACGACGCTGAATAACAAAAACTCCAATGAATCATTACTGATCTTGTATAAAAACATACAACCACAGCCAAGTTTTGGACCTGGTTCCGTGTTTTATATTTAGAAACATTTATAATTATATCTCCATGAATATTTAATATAACACAGTTTTCGATAATTAATTTTAAGAATTCAGATATAGATTTAAGAATGTTTATTAAATTTCCTACCGTTTTGAGGATATATGGATAATTAATATATAAAAATATGTCAGTGGTCACTTTATCTATATTAAAAATCTAATTCCGCTTGTCAACTTACTGACAATTCAGTGAATAGTTAAAGGCCAAGTGTAAAACAAATATTGAATACTAATAAATATACAATAACATGTATTATGTTTAGAGAACAGGAAAAGTACATATCTTATAAAAGTAATGCTGATCATTAATTACATAATAATACATAACATCTGCATTCAAAAATGATTAAGTAGCCTTAAAAAAAGTGATTTTAATAATAAAACATTTTTTTAAATCTTTCAGAGTAGTCGAAATTTTAAACTATTTTTCATCACCAATACCAACTGTAATTTTGTATGGCTTTTGTGCTATTTCTTTATCGAAATAAGTATTTGTTTTTTAAATATAACGGCAGTTAAAAAAATAATTCAAGGGACCTAACAAAGGAACTCTAAATAAAAATAACAATTTGTTCCAACAGTAGTCGTTCTTATGGTCACGAGTATAAATCATTTCAAATCATATTTAAAATTGTCTGTGGCAAGATATAACGTGACCGTTTATTATAAAATATTTAGTTTTTTGTGTATTCTATTTCCTTTTTTGTTGTGTTATATTATTTACAAAAATGTCTAAAAATGTTAAAAGCGTAAGTAGATAAACTTTATTATATTTTGTATTATTTATATAAATAATTATTGTTCTTATTTGAGAAAGACTTCATTTTACTGTGTTTTTTTTTTCAGATGTTATTTTTATTTACATTTTTGGTTGTGGTAAATGAAAGTTTTAGTTTTCCGGGACACGTACCGATAATCAGTTTTGTGCCAAATAGTTTGAACTATTTTACTCATCGAATAAATTTAATACATCCTGTACATGGAGTACGCAAAATGTAAATATTTTGTTTATTCGTGTCTTACAAAGTGGTTATATTTAATTAAAAAGAATTGTGATTTCCTCCTTTAGTTTGTTTCCAGAAATTAATGGACCAAAACGAATACCTTTACGACCTTATGAAGGTCAATATATTACCAGTCAAAATCTTCCACCACTCGACCCAAATTTGACAAATAATATCACAGAATTAGGTCTCAATATAACTAAGAAGAATGAAAATTTTAATCATAGCAACCGTTCTGTTTATAATGGTTCTAACACCCAAAATAAGGAAATAGATAAAAAGTGGAATTTGTTTTTCGATCAGTATTTTAAAAATGAAACTATTAAATCTAAGACTGCCAACATTAAAAGTGCGGAAATTAATTCAATTTCTGATGATATTTTTGAGGCAAAATATGCAGAAAATACAGAAGTGACAAGTGAATTTGTTACTACTACAGATACAACCGACACAACACCTTATGATAGCGAGGTAAGAGAGAACCCAATAACAAACAATTTTGACATTTAAGATAATGTTATAATTCATTAACATATTTACAGACAACAACTGAGGATGATCTTCTGAGAAATGGTGTACCCCCTGAAGTTATATCATCGCTTTTAGGATAGAAATCATTCTAAATCTGGTGCTCGACATTGAACATAACATATCTCGGTTTCCAGAAATACCTTGAAAAATTCTGAAACATCTTTGAGATCGTACATCCAGACATTATTCAACAGTTTACCTTCCAGGTCAAAATCTTGGTACAATAAACTAGTTACTTCCTTGATATTTGGCCGTGATCTCAATCCTGTCCCACTATTCAAGATCAACACGGATTTACGTTTTATGGGTAGAACTAATTTATTTTTGCTATAAGTTGAGTTTAAAGGTAACCTGAAAAATGTTAAAATTACTTTATCAATTCAAATATAAATTTTCCAAAGAAACCACTGAATTTAAATAAATTATTGTTTAAAATATCACAATTCTTATTTGTATTTACTTAGATCTAAGTAAGGTTAAATTCATGATCAAGTGTAAAGATGTAGGTAACTACTTCTTTTCTGAATTCTGCTAACAAGTCATTCCACTCACTACTAAGAGCTTATTATTCTTTTTATAGATACATATATTAATTTAAAAAATACAAAAGCAACTACATAACGAGAATGAATTACAATATTTATTATAGCCGTATAATAAGCCCAATCTGCTTGACACTTCACATTAGTGTTACCACAAACACGAAAACTAATTGATGAAATAGCTTGTAGTAAGATGATCGCCATGAGTTACATACATATGAATGTATATATGAATATACTAGTAATATATTTACATACTTATATTTGTATATATAGTCAAGTGCATTCAAGAAAAAAAACATATTTGGTATAGTGTTTAGCATGATATACGTACAACATTAAAAAATGTATTTTATTCTTATTGTTGTAGTTCAGGTAAACTCAAAGAATCAATTGCAATAAATGGACTGGAGCACACTTTCATAAAATAAATTAATAAACTAATTAAAAGACGATTAGACTCACATACCTAAGTAAATTATAATTTATGTTTGTCCTTTGTTTTAAGTTCAAAGTTTTAATTATATAATAAATTACATCTTATTAAAAATAAATATATATATAGAATGAATAAACTTATTTAGAGATAAGGCTTTGTAAAAATTATAATTTTAAACACTAACGTTATTAAATGATTCATACCTTTCTATTTTTGTAACATTATTGTTTTTTGACCTTTCGTCTGCTGTTACCAAATGATCATAATTAATATTAAAATGAATAAAAATAATACATCCGATGATCTAAAATTATTAGAAACACGGTGAAAATAAAATATTTAAAAATATTACTGTACAATAAGACGATAGAAAATATTTACCTTTAATAACAAATCGTTCATTCTAATTTTTTTAAATAAAAGATATATATAATCAAACAATTTTATGCTTATTAACGTTATTAATTGTTTAGAACCTATTTTTATATCCCTTTAAGTACTTTAATATTCATTTTAATAGGTTTTTATTAATCATTATTAAAAAATAGGATTCCCATATTCTTTATACACAAGTCTTATAAAGAAAAAAATGTTTTCTATTTTAATCTTAAATTCAAATAGAAATAATAAATATAAATCCACTAGTCGTGATATATGTATATGTTAGGAGTAAAATAGTAGAAAAGCCTAAACAAAGTAATACTAGACCTTAACAATATATTTAGAGTTAGAGTTAGCTTAGATATTCTCTTCATGTTTTTTATGAAACTATCTAAGAGCTATATTATTCCCTAATCTTATCCATAACGAATATTTGACTTGTATATTATTATTGAAATTATTTCTTATTTCTTTAATTTGTTGTTAAGTATAAAAATATTTAATTTATATCGGATGGTTTAATTAGTTAGCTATATTTTAACCTTTATTGCAAATAATGTGCTAATGTACAACTTTAAACGGAACATTTTTTACGCTTCTACAATTTTAAATTTCGATTGGCAAATGAAGTTGTAGTGTTATTGCATTAAATTTATAAAAGGCTCTTAGCAAATCTATACTTATTCAAGTTCCCTTGCATCTTAACTGTTGAAATGAAATGAGTGTAATTTTATGACTGTTTAGCGGTAATAACATATAATAGAAATGCTGGTTAAGAGTTGTGTGTATAATAATATAAAGGAAAAGAAAATAAAGTTTAAGAGTCACAAGTATCTACCGACCGACGACCAAATAATCAATTTTAAGAAGCAACAACAAGTTGCCATTATGGGATGAAATAAATTGTCTTCGTATTTGATAAAACTTTATTTTAAGAGTCGTAAGTTGAATTTATTTTTACCAACACGCAAGGATCGCACACATAATATTCAGTGATTCAAGAACGAGCAAAGAGCCAGAAATTATATTTATTACATTTATTTTGAAGATTTTAGTAATTAAATTGTTTTCTTCTATATATGAGATTTTTGCTCTTCTAAATAAAAACTGTGTAATTAGAATAACTAGTGCTTTTAACATATTAAAAATAATATAGATAAGGATTACAACACTCCAATTTACGAAAT